TTTTATATTTGGGGTGCAACACATCAATTTATACACTAAACTACAGTCAAATTAAAATATTATATGTTTTCAATCATAACTTCTGTTGTGAAGAGATATTGAGAAGAACAAAAATGTTTTGAATTTCTAATATGTAACTGCAGATATATATTTGACACTTAAATTAGAAGAGCTACGAGGTTACAAAGTCGTACCAGTGATGTCGAATAAATTTGCACTTCTCCTTCTGCTTACAGTGCATAGGATAATTTCATTTAGGCAATTAGAATTGACTCATTTTTTTAGATTATAGTTTTGTTTATTTAAATTTTAGATAATAGTTTTGTTTATTTGAATTTTATAGTTTTGTTTATTTAAATTTTAGATTATAGTTTTGTTTATCTAAATTTTAGATTATAGTTTTGTTTATTCAAATTTTATAGTTTTGTTTATTTAAATTCTAGATTATAGTTTTGTTTATTTAAATTTTAGATAATAGTTTTGTTTATTTAAATTTTAGAGTTTTGTTTATTTAAATTTTAGAGTTTTGTTTATTTAAACTTTAGAGTTTTGTTTATTTAAATTTTAGATTATCATTTGTGACATTGACATATGTACATATTCTCTTTGTTTTTTTTAAACTGACATTTTTCCGGATTTCCGTAAGATCAGAAGGTAATAGCGATAAAAGTAAAATTCAACTTTGCCCTGTTTTCTAAATGATCATGGTTTTATACAGCTATATGCTACAATGTATAAAATGTATATATGTAAATAAATAAGCTATATCTATATAATAAAACAAGAAATTCGTATATATATATATATGTTGGCTGAAATGTATTGTGGACACGCATGGGTGGCCGGGGGGTGTTAAAAGGGGCTAAGATAAATTCGAGATTTTTTTCTTCACATTTTTTTTCACGGGCAACGCCCAGCTAGTATGTTATAAAGCTATGATATTTTAAGGTTACAAATAAATGTATATATGTAAATGAAAAAAGTTTTATATATTATAAAGCTATGATATTTCAAGGTTACATATAAATGTATATATGTAAATGAATAAAGCTTTATATGTTATAAAGCTATGATATTTTAAGGTTACATATAAATGTATATATGTAAATAAATAAAGCTTTATACGTTATAAAGCTATGATATTTTAAGGTTACATATAAATGTATATATGTAAATAAATAAAGCTTCATACGTTATAAAGCTATGATATTTTAAGGTAGCTTACACGTTTGCAGCAATGTATTAACAAAGTGTCAATCTCACATACACTGTCACATACATACAAAGTATAGTGTGATAAATTGCTTTGCTTCGTTTATTGCATATATTTTCTCCTTGGGTCAAGATTGCTTTTGTTTATTTAAAATTCAGTGATGGTGATGGACCAAACCTCTGTAGAGTAAAAAAGTAGATGTTAGTTCCACATTTATTGAAAATATATTTCGGTCTGGGTTGACCCTCGTCAGTTCTAACAATATAATAACCATCAAAATCGATAGAAAAATAAAAAAATGTAAAAATCACAAGAATATAAACAAACAAAAAGATTATTCAAAATAAAAATTTGGGCTGTCAAATGCACATAAGGGAAAAGAACTCAGATTATGAGATGGAAAAAAGAGAATTTGCAAATATTCACTTTCTAAAAAATGTTTTTAGACAATTATTATTCCTTGAGATTGTTTCTTCTTAAAGATTAAAAACAAACTGTGTAGATGTGTGAATATTGAGTTGGGGTGGGGGTCGATCTAATTAACGAACTTTTCCGTGAGTCGGGGGAGTTCTCTCACTCTTTCATCTAAAGATCTTGTTGTCTGTCCTATATATTGTAGTTTACAGTGTTCACATGTAATACAGTAAACTACATTTCTGGTCTTACAGTTGTTCATGTTTTTTGAATTATTTTATCCAAATTTTTTTTTGCTTTTCTACATTTTACCAAATTTTACACTGACAGAAAATGTATGCAAAAACTAACTAAACCTGTTCCAAAGGCTAGCGTGTTAAAACGTTCGCTTTTGCTTGTTTTAGGATAAAAATATTGCAAAGATAAATAAAATCAAACTTGACCAGAACACAGTTTTGAAATGTTAGAAGTTGTGGTAAAACTTGTTAAAGAACGAACCAAAACGACTAAAAAATAAATTACAATTATACAAGATAAACTATTCCCCCCCCCCTGCCTCCGTCCTTAATATAAATGTTTATGTTTGTTAAGATTCTCTGTATTTGAAATTCAATATAAGTTTGCTGACAACCACAATTGATAAATGGAAACATATAGTTTGTATAATTTATTCAAAATTATCAAGATGCAGTTGAATATTTGGATGCCAAGTTTAGTAGGATTTTATTATTCTTTTAGTTTAGATCTCAATTCCAACCCTGAATTGTATCACGCGTTTTGAACTAAAAAAAGATACATGCGCCTTGTATTTGCCGTTAATCGGCAATGTTTCACTATCTATGACCCTGTAACGTCTGCTTCAATCAGGGTTTAGTCACGTGCATGGTGACGATTCAGAACCAATAGAAATTGCAATTGTACTTTAACTGAAAATTTAAAGCCGACTATTAACTCATTTTAAACCTTCCTTACATGGTAAGAAAAGAATGGGTTTATCTCATTTAAAAGTTCGTAGCTTTGATTTTAATTTTCTAATCAAGGTTTCATCTTCTAGCAAAGATTTGTTCACACCAACCTGATTTTTCCTTAACTTTAAAAGCAGCCTTACCAGTGCACATTTGCGCCTTCATAATGTCTCATTTCAACCGAAGATACATTTGCATATTAGAACATAAAAAAACTTGAAATTCTAAATGGGGCTGGAATCAACAAAATTATCAAATTTTCCAAGACATTGAATCTATAATTGTTTTGATGCATTGCACTTGTGTTTCTGATATGGAAAATCTTTCAGAAAAGTTTCAGTTGTAAATATAAATACATAATAAATAACGAGTGTATAAAAGGAGAGGAAGAAGAGTAGGTCTTCTCTGGGACCAGAATCCAACTCTACTGATTTGCGTATGTTATAATCCTCTTTCGGGGATTTCATCCACTACAGAAGTCCCTCCCCAAGATTTAACCTGTAGAGAACTGGAGTCCAGAATATCTAGGAGTAGGTTAAAGATGGTATAGCTGTTTACTTGTTAGCTTCAAAAGTAGCTATGTTGCTGATTAGCTTCTGGAGAAGCCGAAATTTAGCTTATTAGCTCCAGGAGTAGCTGAGGTTTAGCTTATTAGCTCTAGGAGTAGCTGAGATTTAGCTTTTTAGCTCCAGTAGTGGCTGTGGGATTGTAAGATGAAGAAAGAGTAATTATACGTGGAAAAGAAGTTTAAGCTTGATATTGTCATCCTCGTCCAATTCCTAAGGTATTTCCGACCAAGATGCTGTGTTTTCGGCCATGGTTTGTTTGTTGTCTGGGGTCACCAAATTAGAAGTACATTTATTGCTTCTAGATGTAAAGACATAATAAATAACGAGTGAATAAAAGGAGATGAAGATGAGTAGGTCTTTTCTGGGTCCAGAATCCAACGCTTTTGATATGCGGATATTATAATCCTCTTGCGGGGATTTCATCCTTTACAACACATTCTTTTAGCTCAATCTTCTAATATTAATTCTCTTTAGTAAAAAATAAACTGATTAGTAATAAGTAATTACTCGACTCAAACTCAAATTTATAATTCATATCTTATCAACAGCTGCTGTCGCCGACCTATGATATTTTAAACTTAGACCTAAAGGTTTAGATATTTAGATTTCAAAGATATACTAATTAATTTTAGGCTTGCGTTATCAAATTCCCCAAATTACCAGGTTGTATAACCTTCCACAAAAAAAATCGTCCCTCTTTTGGCACCTTAATAAATAACTAAACGTAAGACAGGCTGTATTTTACATTCGGAGATTAGTAACTTTTATATATTCACCCTGTAGATTTACGAATAAAATTAAATTTATTTCCCCCACCAGCTCTCTTGATCCCTCTCCCCCACCCTCTATAACACTAGAGATTTATTTTTAACAATTTATCTAGCTAACATACATACATTTCCGGGGGAAGGGTCATTAGCAGAAATTTATTTTTAAATTCTATAAAATTCTAAGATTAAACAAAATAAAGTGTTTTTTATGTTAAACCCGGAGAAAGGGTTAAACCTTTTTACTCACCAAGGCGTTAGACATTTTTATTCTCCCAAAGGCAATTTCCAACGTTATCTAAGCTGGACTATTACATAAGTTTTTGGTTATCTTTTTTAGTGCTCTTAAAAAAATAAAAAAAGATTAGATACAATTATGCGGGATGTATGCAAAAAAATAAACATATAAAATTTTTTAACATTTTATGAACTGATTAAATTAACAAAAGTACACATTTTTACTGTAAAAAAACCCAGTATAAAATTAATGTTTGTCCGTACCCTGAAAAATAAGATAAACAATTGACAAACAATACAGATAAAACCCAGTTTCAAATTATATTCTTTGAGGTACGAATATTGAAATTACTTTAAATTCTTAAAGTCTTCCATAAGATTTTATACACTATATAGTACAGTACAATACAGTACAGTACAGCACAAAAACAAAATAAACTAATTCATAACACAAATGAAAAACAAAAAACTATTAAATTTTGAATCTATTCATGCGTTATGCAATTTTCAGGATGAATAGCTAATACATGAGTATTGACTATATTTAGTTATCTAACCAGGGATACCCGGCTTTGTCTGGATACTTAATCATTTAAAATTCAACCTACTCAACTTAAAACTTTTACACCAAAACTTTCCTGTGGTTCTATCGATAGTAAATACTAGTTAAGTCAATCAAGGGGTTCATGAGTTAATCGGCCAAACAAACAAATAGAAATTAATATTTATATACTTTGAAGATAGACTTCCAGTTTTAAACTTTTCTTATTTTACGTTCCGTATTTAGAATATTTAAGATTTTCTTTGTCTTCTATCACTTATACTTGCTTACTAGGATGTTGGTTCCTCTCGGAGTAGTTGTTGTTCTCCTGTCTGCGACCTCTATTGAGGGAAAAAGGAATTGCTCTGGATTCTCCTCCCCTACCATGAGCACCCTACAGGTTACAGGGGTTAAAAGGAACAGAGACTTTGCCAAAAATTCTGATTTTCTAGTTACAGTTATTTGCAACCGAATGTCGTAAACCTTAAATATATCAAACTATGATTTCTGATAAATCTAATATTTTAAAATATTAAAGGTATACATACACCATCAGGTTGTAAAGATATAGGGACTAGACAATTTGAGTTAGTAACAAAGACTCAAGTTGTTATAATTGAATACATTGGTAGATTCAATTTTAAGCAAATTCATTCAAGATTTGGAACTGTTAAATAAAGTTAAGGGAGAGGTTATGAGATCAGTCATTATCATGGATAAGTTCTGTTGGGGGTGTATATTTTCTTGAAAAATTATTACCCCCCCCCCTTTCTTGAAAATCTTTGATTAAAAAGTTTTTTTTTCGCTAAATTGGGGAAAATGATTTTCAAATTTTCTAATTTCTATATCTTTGCAACCTCAGATTATTTGATCTAACATAATTCATAGTTTAAAATATCAAAGGTATACAACATTGAGTATACCGGACAACAGTCTGGTAGGTGGGAAGGTACCTAAATGCATAACTAGCACAACTAGCACAACTAATTATTGTATATTTTATTCCAATCGATAAAAACATTGCCGAATATAAAGTGTATGTGAACCCCGCTAGATGGTATGCGGGACTGAAGTATATTCTCCAACTCCTTCTTTAAGTACAATTCAGATAATCTTCCTGGTTTAAACTCGGTTCCTGCTTCATCTACGCATTATTGAGCTTGGTTCATACATGGGTTGCAAAGATATAGGGATTAGAAAATTTGAGTTTGTGTCAATTCCTTAATTATAATCCTTCAATTCAGGGTGTTCCTCAATGCCATGAGTCCGGAGATTTGATATTCTACGACGAGTTTGACGAGATTGATTTGGACATGTGGGATCATGAGATAACAATGGCAGGAGGAGGAAACTGGGAGTTCCAGGTTTATTGGAACAATAGATCTAATTCTTACACCAGGAACACAGATCAAGATATGAGCAAACAAAAAATTTAAAGGGTCAGACCGGCTGTGTAAGGTAGTTGAACTGAGTATGCAGTTCGTGGTAACCATACTTCCATTTGAATACAAATCATTGAGATATCTTTGTTTTTGTATTTAAAAATTGACAACCTGTGACAGACCGGCTATGTAAGGTAGTTGAACAGAGTATGCAGTGTTGTGGAAAGCTTCATTAGGATTCATTTAAGACATATAACACTATTTAAAGATCTGTAAATCCTGAGTTTGAGCGCAAATTCGACGTTCAAAACTCCTACTTTGGGGGTGGATACGTTTTTAGAATCGGATTTTTTAAATTATGAAATAAAGTAATCTAATTAGATGGGAACATATTTCTCAAAAGAAATTTGTGAATAAATCAATGCTAGAATCAATTATTTCGTTTCATCATTATACTAAATTTCTTATTTTCTTTGAATTTATTCGCAGATTTCTTAAAATTCTTCAAATGTCGCCTTTTCAATAATAATTCCAGAAAATCTGCAGAAAATTTTTGTGAATAATGAGAAACTAGAATAATGAGAAATAGAAACTAATAATTGAACAAGATTACTTATTTTCGATGATAAGATTAATTTTTATTTTCTCAACCGGTTCCTTAACAACTATTTAGTTTACTGTAGAGTTTTGTTTCATTTGTGTCGTCGTTATTTAATAATTAAAAAAACTAATTCTGAAAACGTAACCACCCCCAAAGTAGGAGTTTTGAACGTCAAATTGGCGCTCTAACTCAGGATTTACAGATCTTTAAATAGTTTTATATGTCTTAAATGAATCCTAAAGAAGCTTTCCACAACACTGCATACTCTGTTCAACTACCTTAAATAACCGGTCTGTCCTTTTAAAGCCTTCCAAATATTCGTGTCAAGACTACCAAAAATATTAATGATACCTGGTGACCTGGTTTAATGCATAATTGACATAGCTGCTGTGATGTGACAAATGTTCGCCGTTTTGTTGCTCAATTTTATCTTTGTAGAAATCTACGCATCGTTTTTTTTGAAAATCGCATCATCACAGGTTGTCAATTTTTAAATACAAAAACAAAGATGTCTCAATGATTTCTATTCAAATAGAAGTATGGGTACCGTCGTCGATCATTGATGGTACTTTCTAGATTGAGGGTCACTTAAAATTGCGTTGGAAATTCATTTTTTTACAAAGTTATAATTGACAAGATAGGTTTTGAAGAAAATTCCATTCAATTAATTTAAAATATATATATTTCAACAAAGGAATTGAGGCTTTGTCAAAAACTCAAATTTGGAATTCCATATCTTTGCAACCTGATATTTCAAACATAGATTAATTGATTTAAAATAATTCATAGTTTGAACAAAGGAATTGAGGCTTTGTCAAAAACTCAAATTTGGAATTCCATATTTTTGCAACCTGATATTTCAAACATAGATTAATTGATTTAACATAATTCATAGTTTGAAATATCTAAGGTCTATGACATTTTGTTGCAAAGATATAGGGATTAGATAATTAGAATTTGTAGCAAGGTTCAACTCCTTTAATTTGCTTTCTATGATTATAAAGGCAAACAAAAAATTGAATTAAAATAAATTCTAATTAAAGCTCAGTTCCTGAATAATTAACAAGGCTTTTATAATTAATCAGGAGTAATAAACCTTTACATGGTTGAATTAAATCTGATGTAAAATTTCAAAATGGAAATTGTATGCATTTATTATTTCATGCAAATGGGTAATTAAATAAAGGATAAACTCAACCTTCTGCAACAAATCCATGCAAAAATCTAAAAATAGAAGATCGCAGAAATTATATAAATGAAAAGTTCTATTTTAAGAAAACGTTGCAAAATCATCGTTAAAATAAAGTAAATTGAAACGAAGATTGAAAACAACAATATTTCAGATCATAACCTGCTCTTTTTGAATAGTTATTAAGAATCACAAAATGTTAAGAATTTCTGTTCTGGAACCAAATAAATTTGTCCTGAAAAGTGTTATAATCTGATAATATCTCCATTATTTCTGGAGTAAGAAATGCGCTAGTCATTTTTGTAGAAACCCACTTATGAAAATTTGCCAAGAACAAAACAAGTTAAATGAAGTATACTTAAATGGACTATGAGCGTAATTTCAAGTGACCCTCTATTAAAAGATGGAAATGACCAATTTACTTTTAAAGCTTTGTCTAATTAAGTATATATTATATATCAATGTTTTTAATCTAAAAAACTGGCTAATTTTAATTGTGGATTCACTACAAAAGTGACTCGCACATTCCTTTACAAATAGAGAATATTCGAATTTTACACTTCTAAATTTTGGAAAACTACAATACCTTTCACATCATTTATCAGGCAAATGTTTAAATGTTTCCGTGGTGAATCGGGGATTGTCAATTTTGCTTAGAGAGTCACTTGAATCTACGCCTAGTCCCTTTAAACAAAAAAAAAATCCTTTATACAGTTTGACCCAAGTCCTTCGGAGACATCGAAAAATTTACAAAGTGTCGTCTTGACAATTTTTCAATGGGTTTTATACTATTGTACCTAAATCTCTGTAATTGTAAAATTAATAAATATGCGGTGACAGTTTTTTAAAAAGCTCCATATAATCATTCAATTAAAAAAAAATATATCTGCAGCATTCCATTATAAATTAAGAAAACGACATTTTATAAATTCTTTCGATGTCTCTGAAGTACTGGGTTAACCTGTAAAATTTTTGATTTTGAGACTTGATCGCAGTGTTATCTGAGCAGGGACAGTACACTCTTCCTGAAACCTACCTTAACCTCGGATAGGTTTGGAGAGGATTTCATCATGAACGGTCAGTTTGATCTCTGGGGAGGTCAACCTGGAGATGTTTGCACCAACCCTCAGGTAAACACCTGGAGTTGTTTGCACCAACCCTCAGGTAAACACCTGGAGATGTTTTCACCAAACCTCAGGTAAACATCTGGAGATGTTTGTTCCAACCCTCAGGTAAACACCAGGAGATGTTTAAACCAACCCTCAGGTAAATACCTGGAGATGTTTGTTCCAACCCTCAGGTAAACATCTGGAGATGTTTGTTCCAACCCTCAGGTAAACACCAGGAGATGTTTAAACCAACCCTCAGGTAAATACCTGGATATGTTTGCACCAACCCTTAGGAAACATCTGGAGATGTTTGTTTCAACCCTCAGGTAAACATCTTGAGGTGTTTGCACCAACCCTCAGGTAAACACCAGGAGATGTTTGTTCCAACCCTCAGGTAGACATCTGTAGTGTTGGTGTTTGCACCAACCCTCAGGTAAACACCTGGAGATGTTTGTTCCAACCCTCAAAACATCTGGAGGTGTTTGCACCAAACCTCAGGTAAACATCTGGAAGTGTTTGTTCCAACCCTCAGGTAAACATCTGGAGGTGTTTGCACCAACCCTCAGTTAAACATCTGGAGGTGTTTGTTCCAACCCTCAGGTAAACATCTGGAAGTGTTTGTTCCAACCCTCAGGTAAACATCTGGAGATGTTTGCACCAAACCTCAGGTAAACATCTGAAGATGTTTGCACCAACCCTCAGGTAAACATCTGGAGGTGTTTGCACCAACCCTCAGGTAAACATCTGGAGGTGTTTGTTCCAACCCTCAGGTAAACATCTGTAAGTGTTTGTTCCAACCCTCAGGTAAACATCTGTAAGTGTTTGTTCCAACCCTCAGGTAAACATCTGGAGGTGTTTGCACCAACTCTCAGGTAAACATCTGGAGGTGTTTGTTCTGAGACACAGCTATGTTCATTGGACAACTTTAAGTCATAACTTGATTCTAAAAGTCTTCTTCCTATTTCAAAGTTTATTGGTTCTCTTTGTATTAAAATTATTAAATCTGAATTCGTTTGAACATCTTTATAACATTAAAATGAGAATTACAAAATTTATTTATTTTTTTACACTGATTCAAGTAAATCTTCTAATTTTCTAATTTAAGATAAATGTTTACCGAATCAGTTTTAATTAAATTTTTCAATGAACATTGAATGAGAATTTGATTTCCTTCGTTGGTTCGTAATTTGAAAGAAATTTGTTGGGTTTGAAATTGTAATCTTTATCTCAATGTGTACTTTAAATAAGAAGTTAACTTATACCCAGTTGTAAACAAAACAACTCTTATCTCTTTTCTTTTCTCATTGACAGCTTAGGGGGGGGGACATCCCTCTGGAAAAAATTGAGAAACTTAATTCCATCTCCCTGGAAAATTGAGACGATGCTCACTCTCCCCACTTAGCCGGGACTTACAGGGACCTTTTATCTCGTTTAATTTTAATTCCAAGATTGGAATCAAGTTTTTTTATTTAATTGTAGAGTCATTATTAGCTAATACTAATAAAAACATTGTAGGTTTAATCCTATCCTATTCTAGTTTACAGGTGTATGAGACAAGGTACTGGCCCTAATATTATCAACCCAATCCTATTCTAGTTTTACGGGTGTATGAGACAAGGTTCTGGCCCTAATATAATCAACCCTATCCTATTCTAGTTTACGGGTGTATGAGACAAGGTACTGGACCTAATATAATCAACTCTATCCTATTCTAGTTTACGGGTGTATGAGACAAGGTACTGGACCTAATATAATCAACCCAATCCTATTCTAGTTTTACGGGTGTATGAGACAAGGTTCTGGCCCTAATATAATCAACCCTATCGCCTCTGCAAGGTTGAGAACTGCAAATCATTTCGGGTTCACCTACGGCAAAGTTGAAGCAAGAGCTAAGATGCCGTCAGGTAAATTTTAGAGCGATCCTGATCAATGATCATTGGATCAATCCTGATCAGTGATTACTCCACATCATTGATAATCCTTATCACTGATTGCTCCTAATCATTGGATCAATCCTGATCAGTGATTACTCCAAATCATTGATCAATCCTTATCAGTGATTGCTCCTTATCAGTGATTTATCATGACCATTAACAATCTTGAGAAATTTTCATCATTGATTAATCCAGATCACTGATTTTTGAAGATCAGTAATCAATTCTGTGTAGCTTTTTACAGAAAGTAACATTTTTCAAAAATGTAATTTTAGTCCATTTATGATCACATGCCGGAATCAATTAATAGTTAAAGAAAAGAGCAAAGTGGTTTTTTTTTTATTTGTTATTTGTTTAAAATCAATAATGTAAAAATACTTTAGTTCGGTAGGAAAGAATCATTGTGTGCATAACTAAATAGATTTGAATTAGGATAAAATTCTGGATGATTTATAAAAATCTTATAAGGAATTGAGTCTTTGCAACAAGCTTAAATTTTCTAATCCATATATCTTAACAACATGAATATAATGCTGTAAAACTTTGATGTTTCAAACTTCGATTAGCAGAATTCCTTGTTTGAAATATCATATGGTCTACGACATTGGGTTGCTTAGACATAGGGATTAGAAAATCAGAGTTTGTGGCAAAGACTCAATTCCTTTGTTAACAGGGGATTGGATTTGGCCAGCCATTTGGCTTCTGCCTCTAAGAGAAGCCTATGGAATGTGGCCAGCTAGTGGAGAGATAGATATTCTTGAATCCAGGTAGATATTAACTGTAATAATCGTTGTAATGGCAAGATGACAACATTTTTCTTTGTTAAAGTGACTTATTAATATTAGCAAAATCTAAATAAATAGTCAGTTAGGAGAAATCCAGTCTTAAATTAATTCAAACCATGCACTGGAGATTTTTATGAAAAATAAATAAAGTTTGTTAAAAAAGTAGACGAAAAATCTGGCATGAAATAACAAAAAATTGTTTATCAGAGGAAACCGAAAACTGACTCAGGACGGAGTAAATGTTGGAGTAGAACAGTACGGAGCAACCCTGCAGTACGGTCTAGATGTCCAGACCAACGAGTGGTCCAAGGCTCATTGGGTCAAAAATCTTGCAGAGGGTTGGGACGCAGAGTTCCACAATTACCAGACCGAGTGGACTCCGGATTACATGAGTTTCTCCGTGGACGGAGAGGAGATAGGACGGATTACATATCCTGAAGGAGGGATGTGGGAACACGGAGAGTTTGAGACGGATTGGCCAGGTAGGGAGAAAATTATGCAAGACAAGCCCTGATTCAACTCTGAATTAATGAGATCCAATTTTTCTTAACAGGGTTGTTCCTTTCTTTGATATTTTCTTTTAAGTGCAGTGGAATTTTTTAGCAACAAGAAAAGTTTTTATTTAAATTTCTGAACAGATATTCCAAAATATGTTGTTAAGTTTTTTTTGTAAATGCTATGAAACCCCAATAAGTTTGACATACTTTTAAAATTAAAAACACACGACCAATTGATCTACAAAGTTGCTTTTTTTTCTTAGTTAAAATAGGTTATATGTCAACCTTAAAGATAAGCGGCTTAAAGCACCCTGGTGCTGCATACCATTCTGTACTATTGTTATTTTTAAAATAAGTGGTTGGGTTAATGTAACTAACCATCTTTCCTAGGATTGAAGAACCCCTGGGAAGGATTTCACAAGAGTGCTCCGTTTGACCGAGAATACTTCTTGATCCTAAATGTAGCTGTTGGAGGAACCGGATACTTCTCTGATGATTTTACTAACGAGGGAGGGAAACCATGGATAAATACTTCTCCTCAGGTTGGTTCAGTTGTATACGAGAACTTGATTGTAGCATTTTTTTAATCTAAATTTTTTTAACGTGATCTTTTGATTCATATTGTGCCCTTAATGATTCAAAAAAGAACCTTTACAACTTTTATCTGATTTCATTGGTTTTCGGGAATTAAAAAGTTTCAACTGTTTGCTCATTCATCTCTATCGTTAAAATAGTACAGTTGCATTACTGTGATCGAATATTTTCAGTTAGAGACAGAAGAAAATATTTTCAGATCAATGATGAAGATGTCTCCGTCGATGATAATTGATAAATTGAGAATCAGTAATATGTGGAATAGGAAGACGACTTTAAAGCAATATTTTGATAAAATGGTCTGTATGCACTGCACGATTGCTATGTATCATGCTCATTGTCATAATTTGATTCTACAAGTCAACTTCATATTCCAGAGTGGTCTGATTCTCAATGTAGTTTAAACTAGAGTTTACCGTTGCAAATCTCATATGCTGAAAACTCCTTAAAGTAAAATTTTTAATATCCAACACACACTATCTAGCGTCCACTGATTTATCAGGGAAAAATTTCCAAATGTTTGAAAACCAGAGCAGTGTGTTAAATTTTCATGTCTTATGAATACTACTCAATCATGTAATCTGTCAATCTATCTGTATCTTAAATCATTATATCATTATCAGGCTTCTCTTGATTTCTGGAACGCGAAGAGTTCCTGGTATCCGACCTGGAACCCCGAGGAGAACAATGGGGAGCAGGCGGCCATGCAGGTGGACTACATCAAGGTCTGGGCTATCTAGAACATCATGGGAATTTATGAAAAACATGGAAAAAATGTAATAATGACAAAAAATAAGAATAAAAGTATATTTGAAGTTTAAAATGTTGCACTGTAATATTTTATGTGTATCTTAATAATTTTAGCAGCTTAGATAGTTCTACCCATTTAATTAAAACAATGACGAGTAAAAAAAATAATCTCATTCTTGGGTAAATCTAATAAAAAATATTCTTTGGGAAAAATCATGAGATGAATGGCAAAGAAAATAATGTTAAAGCTATGTCGTTAAAGTTAATTTAATACAAAAATATAGGTTTTAAGGGAAAAGTAAGAAAATAGAAATCCCATTATTATTATCAGCTGTAGGGGTGGGAATGTTGGAAGAGAGAAAATGAGATTTTAGAAGAAAAAACACACTACAAAAATAAATTATAAAATTATTAACTGGTAGAAAAATAGTAAATAATCAATAATGAAAATCAAACTTAACCTTTTTGTGTTCATAAAAATCAGGACTTGCCTAGATCTGAAGTGCAACTTCTAATTTGATGATCAATGTTTAATCTCTTCATTAAAGATATTCCTGCAAGGTATGATTATAGAGAAGGAATTAAATTAATCAATAATCCCGAGGTTTACAACATAAAAGATCTGATCTCAGAATAAATACGTTAGAATAATTTACCCAATATTCCTACCTATTTATCCACCAACATAAAAATATTTGAACATTGAACAAATCTTGCAACAGTTAGTCTCAAAGTTTAGATGAAACTTACATTTATTGCAGAAGTTTAAATGTTTTTATAATATAAAGTTGAAGGAGCAGCGGAGAAAGGAACTGTGAAATGTGGCTGAGAAAGGAACTGTGGAAGTGGTGGTGAAAGGAATTGTGGAAGTGGCGGAGAAAGAAACTGTGGAAGTGGCGGTGAAAAGAACTGTGGAAGTGGCGCAGAAAGGAACTGTGGAAGTGGCAGAGTAAGCGATTTGGCGGGGTTTGTAGAGTGGTGGGGCTATATATGTCGGGAGGTTCAGAGTGGCGGGGCTTTTATGTCGGGGTGTTATGAGTAGCGGGGTGAATAAAAGTGTAGATGTTGAGGTAGAGTGAGGGTTGAGTGTGGGATTAAAGAATAACGGTCAAGTGAATGACTTATCTGGCGAAAGAAGAGTTTTGAATAAAACAGTGTTTGGACTAGTTATGGAATATGGAATATGGATAGAGTACGGAGAGGAGAAACCGATGAGGATTAGGTTGGTTGTAGGATGTTAGAAATCTGAAATGACATGGTTAAACAATGTGGGAGTGTAGGTGAGTGGGTGGGGATTTGACGGAACACATGTCTGAAATCTTTGTTTATGATCGAATACAACGATCAAAGTAGACTCCGTTAAGGCTGCCTCCCTTCATAGTTTTCTGCACGTTCTGCTCGAACAGACGACGGTTCGATTGAAGCTCAATGGCGGCCTCCTAAAATAATTCATTTCAGTTTTTGCTAAGATACTGAAAATGAAAGCTAGGTCTTTTATGCCTTTTTTCGTTGCTTATTTTTCTTTTTTATTCATATAGATGAAAAGTCATTCAATTGCAACTACGCTTGCAATATATAATATAAAATATATTTTTTTTAATTATATACTGCAGTTCTGTTCACGTTCACATTTCAGTTTGAAGATGAAAAGTTTGCAACTACGCTTGCAAAACTATTTTTGATTAAACCTTAATTAATGGAGAGCTCTGCGAAAAGCAACTCATTACAGCAATAGGTACGAAGATAGAGTGAGACGTTTTTTTCTCTCTATGATTCTATAAATGAAAATATAATTGTTGATTTGTTTTGTATTGAATAAAGTTGTTAAGAAGAAAATGAAAGCTGAGAGTCGATTTAAAGATAGTCCTAGATCTTTGAAATAATTTGCGGCATTTCTAACATGCATTTAACAAGTACAAAACACCTAGTTCTGTCATTAGATATAAAAAAGTACAAAACACCTAGTCCTGTCATTAGGTATAAAAGAGTACAAAACACCTAGTCCTGTCAATAGGTATAAAAGAGTACAAAACACCTAGTCCTGTCAATAGGTATAAAAGAGTACAAAACACCTAATCCTGTCATTAGGTATAAAAGAGTACAAAATACCTAGTCCTGTCAATAGGTATAAAAGAGTACAAAACACCTAGTCCTATAAAAGAAGACATTTCGAAAAATGCTCCTACGCATNACCTAGTCCTGTCATTAGGTATAAAAGAGTACAAAACACCTAGTCCTGTCAATAGGTATAAAAGAGTACAAAACACCTAGTCCTATAAAAGAAGACATTTCGAAAAATGCTCCTACGCATCGAAATTCTTCTTGTTAAGTGTTTCCAAAATGTGGTCTGCCTTTTCTTTGCAGTCAAATTACTGAAGAATAAAGCATTTTTTTCAGTACACAGACAATTTTGAATTTATTGAACAAGGCTCAAGGGGTATTTTTTTATTACTTTTTCTGGGAATTTTTTAAATGTAAATTGAAATTGACGGATGAATGCCGAAAATTATTTCAAAGATGATCTCCAAGTCATGTCTTGTGGGACACCCTGAATGAAAATATTATACTCACATCAGTGCTTAGGATTCATTTAATTTTGGTGCGGATCCGGATCCGCACTGGAAAAAAATGGATCCGGATCCAGGTCATAACTTTAAGATTTACTGAATTTTTTGACAAAAAATAATTTTCAAATTTTTTGTTTTATTTCTTTGCTGATTTATATCCTAAAACTTGATGAACCATTCAGAAATGAGGAAATTCTTATAATCTCAAAATCAAATCAAAAGTTCAGATTTGGGTTTTAGGAGTAAAAAGTTTTTTTTGTTTTTGGTCAATATTTTACCCCTTGGATCCGGATCCGGATCCTAAGCACTGACTCACATACACCCTGATAAACTGAAAACAAGAGAAAATAATTTAAAATTAACCTTGTTTAGTGGATCCTCGGGATTAGGCTCGAGAAACAAGTATTGAAGACCGTACACAATTGAGTTGATTGTGAGAACAGGTTTCCAATCCTCGCGGAGAATATTCAAACAAACGTTTCCCTCAAGATCTATATTAGGATGGTAGATCTTGTGCTCACATTTAACCTGAAAAATATCAAATCAATTAATCAATTTGTTTCGTTTCGTTGTTGTCATAACTTAAATGACGATTCGATTCAAAACAATACCACAGAAAATATGTTTTTATTAGTTAGTCGTTATCAAAGAATTCAATGGATTAACTTCTAAAAAAATATTTCTGAATTAAAGTTAAATGGACCATGATAAACCTTTCAGAAAAGACAAGACTGAAGCTGAATCGGTTATGACAGTCATTAGAAGGAGTATTGCATGAAATTACGGTAAAACTCCCTCTAATTTAAGAGAGTATGAGTTTCTTTACCTTAGGTGGTTCATGTGGATATTGATCTCCAATCTTGAAGTTGAAGGAGAACTGACCCTGCCGGTAGAATCCTTCGTCGGGGAATATTTTCACCTTGAAGTTGAGTAGATCGTTGGGGTCAGGGAACTCTGTTTTACAGGTCTTAGGCAGTTCCAGTTCATTTATATCCTGAACAAACAATTAGTTGAATACACATCATCTAGAGAAGCAATGAAACTTGGCAGATCTACATGGAAAGCTATTTATGCAATCAATCTATCACTTTAAGACCTGGGATCAATCAATCAATAAGGCCTGGGACCTTGGAACTTCTGTTTATTCAATCAATTACTTAGCATTGAAGATTGTTAAAATTAAATTTAAGCCTTTTAAAAAGGATATTCGTAATGAAAACTTAGCAATGTGGTAAACAGATCGCATTAATTACCAATTTCTAAAAGATAAAATGTCCAGAAAATTACATTTTTCATAAAATCCTACCTTAGTAATCCTGAGCTGAGCAGCACTAGCCTTCTTCTTGTTCGAGGTTCGGCCTCCGCCTTAATTCAAACAGTTGAGGTTATAATAAAAAGGACTGTAAGCATAATTTCAAGTGGCCTTCCATGCAAAAAAAAGAAGGCAATGTCAGATTCACAACGGTACCACTTAAACCTTTGACTGATCAAGGATGACAGAGATACTCTGTATTTTCTTTTTTTGGTATATGTTGGTACATCAGAATATCCAGGGGTACTTAAAAAAATGCGGATCCTAAGCACTGTTATTGCACGAAAAATTGTTTTTGGGTTTCCGGGCTTTTAAAAATACATAAAAACTAAGTGCTTTTTCTATGTAAAAGGGATCCCCCCCCCCCTGTTTACAAATCCCTGCAGTTATGGTCCTGATTCCTTGTGAGAATTACAACCATAAAGTCTAATATATAATGTGATGAGACGACAAATTTTTGAATTTCCTGCGGCCTCGTCCTTCTTCTCCTGCTTCAATGAGAACAGGTTCAGCATGTTGTCTTCTCTCGTCTCTTCCGATCAACCTAAATCTTGTCTAAAAAGCGCCCACGCCGCTGGTGATTTCAACTCCACTGCCTCTCTACCCCAAGTTCATCTCATTAATTAAGATACTAAAATGTGTCTGAAAAATTAGATATTTTTAAACTTAACTTTAACTATCATGTTAATTAGCTTAATTGCGGTGGGAAATATGCTTAATGCCATAAATCCACATTTCAGTTATTATTTCTGTTCAAATTATGTTACCAAGTATTAAAATTTATTATATTTTCCTCTAAACTTTTCCTATAAATACTAGATAAGAATAAAAAACCAAAAAACGTCGTGAAAATATTTAAATTTTTTTTTGTGTAAAATGTAATCTAAAAATTTCGACTAACAAAATGGCACAGATGGAAGGTCAAAACTTAATTGTATATATGTGTTAGTAAAAATGTTAGTGCTAGCAGGGATGTATATTTGGTAATTTCCTAGTATACGATTATTGGAACCCCCCCCCCCCCCCCCCCTCATATTAATTTTGTACATGAATCTCATATATGATACATGTAAAATATATATCCCTGCAACAAAGTAAATAAAAATATTCTGTTAAATTAGATGTAAATATGTTGTAAAAATAATCATGTTATTTTCTCAGATTAAAACATTTTAGAAGTAGGGCCCAAATTGGAAAGCAGTATTCGTAAAAGTATCATTAAAAATGTTAAAGATAGTGTCGTCCATAAATTGAATCGACATAATCGAAAATATTTACTACAATATTATCTAAGTTGACTAATAAATACAAAGGATGGGTGTATCCTATTTATTGGGAGAACAGAGAATATTCCGTCTGTGTACAGCTCCGCAACCATTCCTTTTTCTGACTCACGTACTTAGAGATTCTGTGAACATGTTTCGGATCCAGATCTATGATTTTAATGCTGAAGCAATATGTCTGATTATTTACCGTGATTTTGGGAAGACTAGCCCCCTTCGGGTTCTTTAATTTCCGCAGGGTTATAAACATTGAAAGATCTTTAGCTGTTGCGTAAAGGATATAGTTACGCAGAAGTTGGATGGACTCCGAGACGAGTTCAGTATCCAACTCCTCTGCAGGCTGGATCACCAGGTTCTGTAAATCCTCCAGGTTTTGACCTTCTTTAATCAAACTCTCAAGGATGTCTGCATAAAACGAGTATCTTCATTTGACGTAGTTTTATTCAATAAACAAAACTTGGGCATCATTCAACTCCATCAACAGGCAAGGCCCCTCCCCACCGTCATTTTAATAGTTATAAGTTATAACCCAAACAATCTGAATAATTTAATTCTACCTAACAATAGTATAGTTCAGCGAAAAAAAACACCCTAAAAAATTCCTAAAATACAGCGCTAACATACTTTTTTTTTACTAATTTAAAAAAAAAAATTCAACCCCCTTTATAAATGATTTTTTAAGCTTAAACATAAATTAATTAGCATAGAGTCAAATATACAAGTTTCCTAGTGCTTGACGATCGGTGATACTGTTCATCTTCTGCAACTCCAGGATAGTATGAAGAACTGAACCTGGAGTCAACTCATCCTCAGAATCCAACCTCGTAGCTCCACAATTCTTTTTCAAGATGGCGTCTGGTTTGGAGTAGCAGACATGTTTCTGTACCGGTTTCCGGTTATCACGTGGTGGATTATTCATGCTCTCATCAGATCTATTTTGGCGGCAAAGATTTGAACCGGCAGGATCGGAGCAAATAATTATATCACAGTTGGCTTTACAATATATTTTCGTTTGAGAGTTGGGGTGTGAAGACGATATTAAATCTTCTTCCACCTTGCATTGTTGTTCAGACTTTACCGAGTGAGATTTTTGACTCTTTTCAACAGCCAGGAGTTTGGAACTGAGATGTGGAATGGCCGTAGGGTTGAACTCATTGGGGTTGACTGTATGTACCGTATCCGGCCTATACTCAGAGCTAAGTGCGGTAACAAGGACCTGAGCAAGAACATCTTCGTTTTCAATTACTTGAGATATGAGCTTGGAACATCTAGAATAATAAGAGTAGAAATTACTTTTCAATTGTTATAATAGAATTTTAGTTTTGTTACTAGTCTTTGACAAAACAAATATGTCATATATAGCAATAATAATAACAATAGTTGACAACCCACATTTCGGGGAATTCGAGACAACGCCCATAATATAACTGAAAATAAATTTAAATAAAAAGTTGAATTTAATACCTTGGAACTTCAGTTGATTCTTTCCCATGGAGAATAGCTCCATCCCCGAATATTCTCATGTTATTCTGCGGACTTCGCATCAAGGCCTTGATAGCTGAGAACATTCTAATCTTGTTCCCGGAGAATAGGTCGAGGGGACAGTATCCGCTTAGGGTATCTGTAATACCCTGCTCCACCTTGTAGAACTGCTTGAGGCAGAAGTTGCAGAGGGACGGATGTGAACAGTTCTCAGGCAGCAGGAAACCCATCTTGGGTTTCAATTCAACAGATATCGTTGAACCTAGATAATTAGATGATTAGAGTTTGTTTTGAATCTTCATGGCAGAAACAAATCTCAAGAACTGAAGATTGTCAACCCAGAACGAAATATATTTTTTTTAATGTGGAACTAACAACTAATTTATTTACTCTATGAGGTTTGGATTATCATCAACACCAGAGATTTTGTGGCAGCTTTAAAAATTCACTTTGTGGCAGATTTTATGGACAAAAATACTATTAGTGGCAGATTTTATGGACCAATATATTAATTGCAGCAGATTAAAGAGTCTAAATGATGTCAAGTGACATTTTTGGATTTATAATGTACAATTTTCACACAGATAAATCAAAGAAAAATTTTATCAACCCTATTAAATGAGTTAGTTACAGCGATCAAATTTCTTTAATTCATAGTTCTTCAGGATAAACTCAGAACCTGCCAAACTATCGATTTTTTGTGCTTTACCCTACTTAATGGTTTTCATTTATAATACAATGAGAATCAAAAAAACTGCGAAATTGGAAGACGATATTAAAACAATACTGAAGTGTATTTAATGTTTTTAATGTTGTTACAAAGAAAATGGTTTCACTTTTTAAATCACAAAGTAAAATGGGTCTGTGTAAACTGCACAACTGCCGTGCCTCATGTTCATTCGACTTTATGAAGTCATAACTTGAGTTTAAAAGTTATCTTAATATATTATTTGAGGGTAAACCAAATAGTCTTTTCGCTATTGGTATTAGTCTTACTTTATAAAGACAACTGTGGCCGGAGAAAAGGCCGAATTTACACTATTTGATGCTTTTTGTCATAGTCATGGATTTAAAAAAAAATTTAATTTTAAATTCAACTGTAGCATCTAATTGATGATTGTAAATATCTTTGATTTTTTCAAAGTTATTTAAAAATTGTCTATTTTCAAAATATAACTTGTCAAAGTATAACATTTGACGGATTGATACGTTTTCCATTCTTCCCCACTCCCCAGGAATCCCCGAGTTGTAATCTATGAACCGGTTTGACAGAGAGAGAATGTCGTTTTTGTAAAAACGTGTTAAATCATGTTTAAACGCTAAAAACTCTAATTTCATGCTAATTCTAAAATCAAAAGTTTTCATATTTTTAATATATAATGGCTGACACATGATGCCATTGAAATTTGATAGCTTGAGATTTTATTGGGCTGTTGTTACTGAAAAAAACGTTTAAATTTTGTCTCTGCAAAGGTATCATACCTTTGCGCTGGAATTCTAAACGATAAATCGGCTATTTCTCTGGCCACAGATAATTTTGAAAAGTAAGATGAATAGCTACTAGGCGATTTAGTTTACCATGAAATTACCAAAATAAACGAACGGCCCCTTTAAAACATTCAGACATTAGATTATAATGGTTAGCACCAAACTTCTAATATAATCTCAAGATAAGATGTCTTTGTCATGTCTAGTGGGGCTCACTGTAGTTTTTCTTCACATGAGAAAATGCATGATATGTCTAATATATGTTTGTCACAAATTAACAATGTTACCTATTCCATGAGTGGAGAAGTGTTGAGAAGGCCGGGTTAGATCAGTCATTAGAATTCCCATTGGATAAAATATATCCTTGACACATCTTTCCATCGGTCTCTCTACCCTCACCTTCTTCTTTACAAGCTGAATATAAAATATTTCAATCGTTAGGCAATCATGATCAAACACATTTCTCTATTAATTTATAATTTCAGACACTCAATTTATTGAGTGGCATGTCTACTTTGCTGATAATAAATATATTTCTAGTTGAACATTTTTAGTCATTTCTAACTTAATGGATGCCATTGAAATTTTGGATCTTATTAAAACTTCAATATATACTTAGAGAACAAAATACCTCTAAATCCTCCAGAGATATTTTAACCACGGATACAGGATTGAGAAACCTATCTCCGAGTAGAGGACGTATTACGAGGTTGAGGTAGGAGGAGATAGCTTTCAGTTTTTCGTCTTGACATTTCTCAGCAAACTTACTCTTAGGAAACCTGGACAGTTTGTAAGTTAAAGATCAGGAGTTTACACTGTCGTCTTAACAACGTTCAGACATTGGCTATGGACAGAACAAGGTTGTGCGTGTCAATCTGTCGATGTGATACCGTCCCCTTGGGTAAAAAGTATAAAAAAGGATTAAAAAAATTGTCTTTTCATTTTATGTCCAATTTTTCTTTATCTCCCGGCCCCAGGCGAAATTCTTAAATATGTAAGACACCTGCTTTAAAAAAAACTCCAATTTTTCCTATTTTAAGTTTTCAACAAAGGAATAGTCTTTGCCAGAGATTCAAAAATTCACATTCGATATTTCAAACTTAAATGCTTTGATCTGATCATAAAATCAGAGTTTGTGGAAAATACTCAATTTCTTTCTTGGCAATCAAAGAAAATTCTAAATGCAAAAGAATTTTCCATCATAAAAGATTCCAAAAGATAAAATGAATAAATAAGTAAAAAGTTGATATGACCTGATGACAAGATCTTTGTCCCTGATTGCCACCACGAGGTTCGCGTTCCCCTCTCCCAGGTAGGTCACGCTCTCCCCCACCAGGGACACCTCCTCAACCCCCTTCTAAACATACAGACACGATAGAAACCTAATCTCATCTCATCATTCATCACGATAAAAACAAAAACCAAAAAACAGGGGTGAATCTTCCCACACCCCAAGTCCCCCCAAGAATTTAAGTATGTTTAATTTTTTTAAGGTTTTCTTTGTTAAATGCGGAAAAAAAATGATTTTTAAGGAGAAATAAATTAAATTTCTGGGGAGTAAAAAATTTCCCTTTTGATGTCATTTTTAAATGTTTTAACGACTGAGATGAAAACTCAAACTATTGTAAAATATGAAGACAAGAAAAGATGATCTAATGAAAAAATATATTTATAGGGCTGTAAAGTGTAAAGCGCAATTTCAAGTGACTCTCCATGCAAAGATGGCAAAGCTGGATTTCCAATAGTATCATTAAAAGCTTTGTCTAATTTGTCCCATCAAGTATAAGTTAGATATCAATGTTTAAAATCTTTTAAGAGATTATTTTCAATTATTTCTTTGCACACGTGACTTGCGCATTTCTACCGTAGGAAAACGTTTAGATTTTATCAGAATTAAAAACTTTTAAACCTGGAATAAGAACAATATCTTCCACATTATTGATCAGATAAAGGTTTCAATTGTACCGTAGTTAATCAATCATGTCCCTCTTCACCTGAAGGGTCACTTGAAATTACGCGTAAAGTCCCTTTAAAAGTATTGTTTTATTTAAATTAATCATGATTAACCTGCTTCATCCTACTAGATGAGAACCCTCCATGTTCTCTGAAAATAGAAATATGAAGCACCAGTAACGAAAATAGTTGTACAATTATAATAGTAAAATTTTCAATAAAAGCAATATACAATGCATGTGAGGAATTTTCAATAATTTCATAAAATATAAAATAAAGGAAAAATAATAACACACATAATTTTCAGACAAGATTATAGTTTAATGTTTTAAAAATGCTATTTCCGTAAAAATATTTGTTGAGCCGCAGCGACAACGGTTCCTCGTCTGAGTAGAGTTGTCTCTAGACTATGATTGGCAAAGTTCATGGTGAAAGTAGAATTATCTACGGAGAAAAGAACCGGATGTTTGTGGTTTGGAGGTGGGAAGGATCGGATACAGGACGGATAGGAGATTATCCCTGCTCTGGTGAACAACTTGATAACCCCTTCTTTCAACATCCCTTGAACCTTGAGCGTACATGAAACTGGTTTCCCGGCGAGGAGAGTCATTTCCTCGAGCAGAGTTACCTCAAGGATGGGACAGTTTGGACATAGTTCACAGTTCTCATTAACAAGAACATTCTCCAGATTGGAATACACACAATTCCTACAGTTCTCCGCAGGTCTAGGCTTCGGGAGAGACAGGACGGGTTTACAGTTGTCAGGTCTGGTTGGGATTATTGTGAGATTACTCAAATTCCTATGGTTGAAATTCAGACCTTGATTTGAAGGTTGGGGATCCCCCTCGGCTGTAAGGGAATTAGTTGAAGACGAAGCCTGGACATATTCTCCAGGATAATACGGATACTGTGAACCAATACTAACCAAGGGAGCTGTCGGATAAATCTGGTTTGAATCTCCAATCCAAGCTTGCTCTTGGAAATGAAAGTGACTAGGTGGTGGATAAGATCTAAACGAGGGTTGTGGTGAAAACTGAGAAAAGGACAGGTTGGTATCCGCTAGATTTGAATACTGGGGAGGATTGTCTGGTATCGTTGTATATGTGCCGGAGGGTTTATTTGAACCGGGGTAGATTTTATCTGGTATATAGGGGTTGTGGGACTTGGAAACCTCATATTGCTGAGCTACGGACTGAGGCTGCGATGACTCATTGATCTTTCTCTTATCTCCAGGTAACGCTGATCGGTTTTGATTCTGATGAATATCATCTCCAGATTTCGAAACTGAGTTTTTTGTTTCCTCTAAAACATTCCTTTTCACAAAAGCAGAAGTTTTTTTGATGCCGAACGCGAGCTTTGGCTTCTTCAATGACGGATGTGTTTTAGAAGGATTTTGAGGCAACCTTCGTTTAGGTAATGTCTGCGTGGGGTTTATATCTATGGTAGGTTTTGCGTCTAAATATAAAGGATTTGGAGGATTGATATATTCTGAAGCAAAGGCGTCTCGCGAAGTATCTCTGAAGGTTCCCAACTGAACTAGTGGTTTGAGAACTGGACGGCTAGGTTTCGGTTTAGTAGGTTTCGACTCCTCTGGATTCAAACAAACTGAATCCAAACCCTGGAGTTCCAGTTTGGTTGAAACTGTGCCTATCCTATCACCGATTTGCGGAGGAGATTTGAAAGATGACGATTTAAACCATATCTGTAAATTAATTTCAATAAAATAATGTAAAATATCTACATGAGATGATGAGACGTGTAAAAATACATTTTTTCGTCAATTCCTTTATTATCATTTAGTCTAGAAGCCCTGAAAGATGGCAATGCACGATTCACAACCATTAAAAGCTTTGCCTGACCAATCATAAATTAGATAACAATGGTTTCTGAACAAAAGTGACTTGCGCATTTAAACAGCAGGAAAGCATATGGAATTATCAGAAATAACACACTTTTAAACCTAGTAGAATTCTAATACATATTTTATACATTATTGATCAAATAAAGGTTTTAAGGATACCGTTGTGAATCAGGCATGTCATCTTTGCATGAAGAGTCCCTTGAAATTAAGTTTACAATCACTTTAAGAAAGTACAACTACACATTAAAAAATAAAGTACAACTATACATTAAAAAACGTAACTTAAAAAAAATCACCTTTATCAATCCTTTGGGGTCAAGGGATGCAAACTTATTGTTGAGTGTTCCAGGAATACACTCCTCCAGATTTACACAAAGAGGTTTGCGGTGTAGATCTGCTAGCTCCAGACTTTCAGGAATACAGTTAAGTATTGTAAACAAATCAATTTGTATACTAGAGCGTAGAGTTAGATATTGATAAGAAGGCTGGGAAGAGGGAGGAATACCACGCCAAATCTGACATAGTCCTAAACAAGGGATAAATGGGTAAAATCCTAGGAAATAAGACCTGAACCATCCTACTTCTTAATTATAAAACAGCAACCTAACTTAACCTGGAAACGTGTGTTATGTAATGTGTAACGTGTGTCTACAGTCTATATATGGGACATACTAACTACGTCTAACCTCCAACCAACTCCACCTACTTGACCTAACTTGCCCTAACCTATTTCAAGGTCCGATACATGTTTAGGTCGGATTACTCTTAGAACAGAAAACCTGGTATGTTAGTTAACTTAGGTCGAATCGGAGAGTAACGAAGGCTTATATAAACTGATCTGAACTGAACTACATTAAACCCCAATTCTTAATAATAATAAGATTGATAGTTTAAGTTTTAAAATCATTCTTCTTGAATAAAAAATCACTTACCTAAAAGAGTTCCAGGTTCAATTATTCTAGTTTCCGAATGTTGGAGGAGAAGAACTATATATTTTCCGTCAAGAACCTTACAAATCTGATCTTCAACCTTAGCCCAAGACTCTTGGGAGCTGTACAAGCTACGGTCTATAAACCTGACAAACTTATCTTTGATTACTCCGTCATCGTCTTGAACTCGGCAGAGAACTGTTCCAGAGTGAAACCGACCAGGAGAACCTAGAACTGCATTCACTTGGAAACTCTGGCACATATTGCATATCTTCAATGAATCACAGGTACACTTGTCGGATTCTTTAGGAATAAGGATGGTATCTTCTTCAGGTATTTGATCATACCCGGAGAAATCAAAGATTGAGTTGTTCAACCTCAACCCGGAGGAGGAATCCTCAACAATTAGCTTATTTTGAAGATTAGTTTTCTCTACGGCTTCCTGAATTGGTCTCCAGTCGTGAGAATGAATCAGAGAAAGATGGGTTTGTCCGAAATCCTCTTCATACTCATCGCTCCCCTGCGGTTCATCCAGATCATTGTTAGGATCCTGGTTTGCTTCTGTGAATATACTACCTACAGGACTAGATTCTTGGAGCTCTGTTACATTGCGAAGAGGGGATTTGTAAGAAACTTTCTCTGATAGAATTTCTGATCTCTCTGTAACTCTACGCAGATTTGTTTGGTCTGCCAGGGTTCTACGTGGTAGGGTATCCTGTAGAACTTCACCAGTTGAGAGGGATAATTCAAAGAAAAGGTTTTCTTGAAAACTACTCAGTAATCTGTAAATAGGCGTAATTTATATATATATAGATATATACATATATATGATGTATACAAAGACAAGGGGCAGAATATATCTCAAATATTTAGATAGATATATAGATATATACATATATATATATATATATATTCTATTGTTTATTAAGATTGGTTATATATATATCTCCAATGATTTACACTGAAATAATGAGACTCAAACTTTAAGATTTTCTATAATTTCAAATTTTAATTTATTTAAAATTTTTTTTTACCGAATGTTAGAATTGTTTTCAGATCTCAGTCCTGAACTGAACTCCTTCCATTGAACTGTAGATCGGATAGCAGAACTATACTTACAATACGGAGCAATGAAACTATCAAAATCCGGGTTCATCAGGTGTTTGACTAGATTAAAGAGAACAATGGTTGTCTCTTGAGTATCGGAGAGATCAAATGAATCTGATAAAACCTCTTGACAGATTGAGGTAAGATCTTGAGATTCTTCTCCGTGAAAAGTTTCTTCAAAAATCTCCTGAAGATTAATAAATCCAATTAAACCATCTCCAACCTTGTCAAGGATAGAGTGTAGTAGAGGAAAGACGAGTTTCTCCGAGGTGTACACAAAGATACAACCCTGAACGAATCTTTGGAGGGACGAGATTTCTTGAATGATCTCATCCAAGGCAGCGCTATAACTGAAGCAATTTACCAACCTAAATTATTAAAGATAATAAATGATATGATTTTCTTGGGACAAATACATTTCTGAAAAACGAACGTTTTTTCGAAATTTTATAATTATTTTGTTTTGAAAGAAAAGTCGATGCTTTTTTGATGTAAGGAATTTGTCTGACCTATCACTATCCTTGATGAATTGAGCTGAGTCGGACCTTGAGATTCGAACCCTCAGTTTCTCCAGAAGTTTCAGAAAAACTTTAACACTAAGTTCTCCAACCTCGGGAGGTTGAAGAGGGAACAGCAAACTCTTGGAGGTCATCCTCTCCGGGTCTGAGATTCCTGTGACGTGAACGTAAACTCCAATTTGAGAATAGTCAGATGTATTTTCCAGGCTTAGTACTTGAACATCCAGGAATACCAGGGCTATAACATCTTCCGGACCAAACCTTTCATCCACAACATCGTCCTGATGAACCTCTGGACTAGATTTAAAACAATGCTGTTTGCTATCAGGTCTGTCAGGGAGACTGAAGGGTTGCTTAATGCTTGACAGTTTCTGATCAGGTTCTATAAACTCTTGATAATCTGCTAAAGTAGTTCTCACAGGAGTTTCATCTTTAATATTCACTTTGATCTCAACATTCTTGTTCTCTGCTGGCAGATCATGATACAGCTCAGTAGTGGGTGTTACTACAGAAGTGGGTGTTACTACAGAAGTAGGTGTTACTTCAGTAGTGGGTGTTACCTCATAAGTGGGTGTTACTTCAGTGGTGGATTTTACTTCGGTAGTGGATTTTACTTCAGTAGTGGATTTTACTACATTATTGGGCGTTACTTCAGTAGTGGATTTTACTTCATTAGTGGGTGTTACTTCAGTAGTGGATTTTACTTCGTTACTTCAGTAGTGGATTTTACTTCATTAGTGGGTGTTACTTCAGTAGTGGATTTTACTTGATTAGTGGGTGTTACTTCAGTAGCGGATTTTACTTGATTAGTGGGTGTTACTTCAGTTACTTCAAGTGTGTTCTCTAAACTTACCTGAGCATCTGGTCTTGTTTTAACGTCAGAAGGACTATCTATCAAAACTGCATTTTCTGAAGATGTTTTTGCGTCAATGGTGTTGGGAACAGATATGCCAGCTACTGAAGATATCTTTGTTACAGATGTTTCTGATTCCAGGTTTTCCAGATCCGATGATCTAAATTCCACTGAAAATGTGTCTGCAACAGAAGATATGTTTACAGATAAAGTTTCCTGAACGGTTGAAATGTGAGTTAAAATTGGGTCCGAAACAGAAAATGAATTTTCTGAAGATTTATCCTGGAAAGATGTCGAGCCAGAGGAAGACTTCTCCTGAATATCGTTGGATAATGATGAACAGTCCACCAAAGATGTGTTGACAAGGGGAGTTGTTGCGCTGATTGAGATGTTTGCAACTACAGGGAGGTCAGTTGGAGGTGACATGTCCAAAGCAGATTGTACGTCAGTATCAGGTCCTTTGTCAGAAATGTCGACATCATTTTCAAAACCATATTCGTCGTTAGTGGTTCCAGCTTTTTCCTTAATTCTTTGTTCTAACATTTTCTCGTTCACATCTCTAGCTAATTTGTCTGAAAATATTAAATGTTCGCAATATTTTTTTTCAAAAACAATAAAAATAAATAAATTTATAAATATTTAGATTGCCGTAAGGCATAACACATTATGTATAGTATAATTCGTTATTATACAATTAATAAATTATTTGGTCAAATGCCACAAAAATAAATACGTTAAAAGATAATTTCTGCATTTTTTACCTTGCACCTCGCAACTGTCTGGTTCTAAATTTGAGTTTTGTGAATATGAAGATTCATCATCATCGTCATGGTTCTTTATATTGCTTCTTGGCTTCTTAGATTCACATTCAGCCTCTTCTGTTGTTATTTTATTTCTATAATTATTATTTTTGCGACATGAACTTTTCTTATCAGCTTTCGTATGTTTCACAGAAATCTTCTTGATTTTTTTCATATTTATTTTGATCACTGCTTTTTTTTCTTCAGTTTTAGATAACTTCAGATTACATGATTCTTTTTTAAGATCAAAAGATTTACTTGTTGTGACGGCCATTTTTTCTAAATTTTTAGGAGCCTTATTTTCATTTATATTCTTGTCTAAGGGATCATTAGAAAGAGAACTACTATAAATTGAATTATTGTGTAGGTCGGTTGTAACCAGATCAATAACACAATCAGGTTTATTATCTGAATACAAACGTTTGAAAGAGTTATATGGTTGAAGGATAGGGTTCAGATCAGAGTCGCCATTTTTCTCACAGACAATGTTAGAATCACGCGTTGCAGTCGGTGCAACTGGTGGAACAAGTTTTTTAGGAGACCAAGCTGTCGAACCTGGACTTGCTGGAACTATAGATGTTGTAGAATTTCCAGTGTCAGCCTTTAGTGTTGCAGGTTTCGAAGTTGGAGAGTTTACGGAAGAACATTTTTTCTTTTTTGGAGCTAGAATTTTCCCATAATGAACTTTAACAGACAAGGTTGTCGGAGTTTCGAGAACAGGGGGTTTCTTTATCGGGATTTGACCCTTCGGCGACAAGGGTGTCAGAGTCTCGAGGACAGGGGTAATTGTCGGAATTTGAACTGTAGGCGATAACTGTGTTTGGGTTTGAACTTGAGGTGTTTCATTTTCAGGTTTAATTCGCGGGGTTTCAGTCTCTGCAGATGATGAGATATCAACTTTTGGGGTTGAAACTTCTGGAACTAGAATTTTAGAAACTATCGGAGCTATATTATTATGCTGAGGTGGTTGATTTTCCGCAGAAAATTCGATTGGAATCTTGATTTTTGGGAGTAAGACCACCGGATTTTTAATAGTTGGAGTAAATGTTTTAGATGTAAATTTATTTTCTGGACTTTCATTTGGGGTTTTATCAAGTTTATCTGCCAGGGGTTCCCTTTCCAGAGTCTTATGGCCTTGGAGATAGATTGTGACTTCTTTGGTTGCCACATTGTCAGATGGTTCTGGTTGGGAATTAACAGATATCAATGTGTCCGTGGGTTTGATATGAATACATGAATCATAGGATAGTTTAGCTTCTGAGCAACCAGGGAACCAACATTTTCGTAGATTTCTCGTCAACCCCTATAATTGTAAGGATTGTTATAAATTTAATAAACCTTAATTCTTAAGGCCATATATATTGAAAACATCATATATAGGTTATCAGATTAAACCTTTAAACCTTTATCTGATAAACGATGCTCAGGGACAACTACAGTGTGAGTTATAGAGCAATGCCCCCACCCCCCCCCTACAACGGCGTTGGGAGGAGCTACGGAAATTTGAGTGAGAGTAATTTTTGAGTTGGCTCATCTCTAGTAAATTCCAGTATCCGGCTCGACGTCGATGATAGGACAAAACTAGCCGGTTTAGTACTAGAAAAACACAAAATCTGGTCTATAATCTAGAAATCATTGTAGACCATATTTTGTGTACTTCTAGTACTAAACCGGCTAGTTTTGTCCCATCATAACTTTGCTATAAACCGGCGAAAGCAATTAAGTTTATAGTCTCTCTGATCAGGTTTAAATTTCTGGTTCTAACCTTAAACCAACAAGGTCTACAGAGTGTTCTCCTGCAGCATGGAGTTCGTACTGGAGTTCTAGGATTTCTTTGAGTACACTCCTCACATATAAGTTCTACGCCCTGGAAAATTGTTTTATCACTATAATGTAATAAGGGGTGTGTGTATGATTTTAAGAATTACCCCCCTCCCACCCCCTGACACGGAGGTATGATTTTGATTAATTGAGGGGAAAAATTGGATATCAAAAGGTAAGTTTTTTCTTCCTTTGGGATACTTCCCCCCCCAAAAATTTCATTTATTTTCCCAACCTAGGGAATAAAAACCAAAAGAGGGGGGAGATGATTTTTAAACAAAATATACACTCCTGAATTTTTTCAAAAAAGATTTATCATTGAGGGCAACATTTCTAGATGAACAATTCTGTGAAGAGTAAAATTGAAGGCCAAGTACAAATCAAATCAAACCAAACTGTAAATATGCTATAAAAGCTATGTTGTATATGCCTATTATATGAGTAACCGACGCATTGGTTAAAAATTAACATAATTATTTGATAATGATTCATGATACATACAGGTTATCTAAAAAAATGCTTGGTACAGTACAGATCTCATCATCGAGCCAAGTTGGCAAATTTCAAAATGTCATTTTCCCTAATTTTTCTACTACAGACCTTATGAATGGTATTCATACATCGAAAATGTTTTGAAAATGGCCAGGAGATTATTTTTTAGATACACTTAATTAATGATGGACCATAACTTACTTCGTTCTTCATGAACTTTTCAAGGTTTATGGGCTTTTAAAAGACAACTCAAAAATCTTTGAGGATTCCAACATTGAAAAACTAATAAAAGGTCGCGTTTTATGACTATACAAGATTTTATCCCAAGAAACATTTTGAGGAAAAAAACGATCATTTGTTGGTTCGTGTTGAAATACATCTTCTCTCAGTGTTAAAATATGGCATATTGTAATAAAAGCTAATGTTTAGAATAAACAATTGGAAAATTTGTAAAGCTTCTCAGATATTTAAAAAAAAACATTTAAAAGTTCCAACCCTTTAAAGTTGTCTTAAACGAACCAATTAGTTTTCTATCATTGTAATTAGAAAAATTATCTCACCATATTAAGCTGTAAGCATAGTTGAGCTGGAAAGGAAGAACTTTCTCCATTTTTATCTGAGAGTGAATATTAGAAGTTGTGTAGTGGTATTAATATTAAAAATATACAATTGCTTTAGTATTTGATATTTAAAATGACGAATTTATCTAAATTTTCAAAATGGTGAAACTAAAATATAAATTATGTTTAATATTAAAAATTACTCTATTATAATTTTTTCAACTCAAGAAGTAATAACTATTGTCTATTAAACTAGCATAAAACTGAGAATATATATCTTTAATCTTTTTAACAATGGAATTCAGCAATTGCAAGTTTCAACACGTATATGGTAGGACCGAAGAAAATATTTTACTCAAAAGAGTGAAATTTCTGATATTCGCAATTGCTGAATTATCATTGGTCTCTAGAACAAGGTGTTGTGATAAGTTTGAATAATTCTTGATTCTATTAGTTGCTTGGTTAAAATGGATGGATAAAATTAGTCATAGTTAAAGGAACTGTAAGCGTAAAAGTAACCCTCTGTGCAAAGATAGCAATGACCGATTTACAACGGTACCCTTGAATCCTTAATCTCATTATTTTATAACGTAGTTTTTCTGACTCTAGAGAAAAGTTTCTTTCTGTACATTTATCCATTGTTTCTTGTAAGCAAACGTGCACAAGTCACTTTTGTAAAGAAACCACAAATAAAAATAAACAGGAAACCAAAAGTTAATCGGGCATTGCCATCTTTGTATGGAGGTTCTCTTGAATTTACGCTTACAGTCCCTTTAAATGGGTTGAAGATATTAAAAATCAGATTTTGAGATTGCAAGCTAAAGTTTAATAACAAATAGTGCTCAAAGTTAATTGTGCTCAGTCTTTAGTAAGACATCATAAAATGCATATTTCTTCATCTTGGGTAGGGCTTTTTTTAATCAATAAAAAGCTGTATTTTTTTATGTAATAGATTTCTTCACAATCAGTATGTATAGTTCACAAGACAAAGATGTTAAGAAGTTCAGAATTCATTGTCTGAAAGAATTACATATTTTGATTTTACCATGGGGGATGCGAAAGACATTTTAAACAGATTTGAACAAATACACATTTTAAAAGTAAGTATAAGAATGTTATTACTTTAATCAATTTAACTTAAATTTTAGAATAAAACACTTTGAATATTACAAGGATTATTTATGNAAGAATAACGAGTTCTGAATGCAATACAATTATATTGGTCCTTAAAGAGCAGTTCAACATTCCAATTTTAAAACATGACAGTTGATTGAATGGTTTTGAAAGAGGTTAAAGAATAACAGTTAACAGTTGATTGAATGGTTTTGAAAGAGGTTAAAGAATAACAGTTAACAGTTGATTGAATGGTTTTGAAAGAGGTTAAAGAATAACAAACAAGTTATATTGTTAAAAAGCTGTTGGACACTTGAACTGTGAAAAGTTGAACAAAACGACATGTTTAAAAAAGTTAAAACACTTACACTGTTGAACAATTTTAAGTTTAATAATTACCAGTTTTAAAGAATAAAAAACAATCCTCTGTATACATCTGAATGTTTCGAAGAATATTAAGATTAAGGTCTTGACTGCTGAAGGGTGTATGATGTTTGCAATATAATTCTATATTCTAAAGCGTGTAATTATGCAAGTTTCTGAATGTGTCGTACATGTACTGCAGAATATGTTGAATCTAATTCGCATTTGTAACAAATAAATAATATTATTTACAATGACCGTACTTCTCTACCTAAGAGTGTTGAGTACAGTGAGTCCCCAAAAACTTGAAACACCTTGCTTTTACTTTAAACTTTCGAAAAGTCTCTAGTTATTGATGTGTTCTGATCTTAAGAACAACATACTCTCTGCTCTAACAAAAATGAACCTTAAGAAAAGCTAGCTTTAAAGCTTCCATGTTTCAAGGGACTCTCCGTGCTACCAAAGCCTGGAATCTGATTGCGGCATTCGCACAACGCCAACTCCTCCACCCAACCGCCGGAAGTTCATGGTGCCGCAGAGTTTCCAGTTGTTAGCATCCGCATCATACTGTTCTATCGTCTTAAGATAGGTTGTACCATCAAACCCACCCACAGCGTACAGTAATCCGTTTACAACTGCTAATCCAACACCAGACCGTCTTTACAAATATAAAAAGTTAAGAAAAATGCTATAAAAAATAAGAAAATTAATTTAACAACAATGTTCTCTAGACTTCAAACCCATGAACCAAAAATTTTAGTTCAGAACTAATTTTAATAAATATTTTACTAAACGGGGCGATCAAAACTGAAGTAAGGGGAAACATAATACATTTGTTTATTCCCAAGATATGTCAAACTATTAAACACTTACCTAGACATCATAGCTACCATAGGACTCCAGGATCCTGTACTAGGATTATATATCTCTGCACTTGACAATTCAGTTTGATCATCTCTTCCTCCAACAGCATAGATTAAATTATTAAATACCGCACAACCAAGATGTTTCCGCCGAGTGCTCATCGACGAAACGGTCGTCCATTTATTTCCTTTGGGATCATACCGTTCTACAGTATTTAAAGGACATTGACCGTCTGAACCCCCGATAGCGTAGAGATATCCGTTGAGAACTGCTACAGCGACACCAAGCCTCCGGGTGTTCATACTCGCTACCTTGGACCATTTGTTTTCTTTGGGATCATACCGTTCAACATGATTTAGACAGGATACTCCATCCTGTCCCCCGACCGCGTAGAGGAATCCGTCCAGGACTGCAACCCCGACACTTGTCCTACAACTAGAAGTGGGAGCTACATCACTAGACCACTGATTAGTTTGAGGGTCATACCGTTCAATTGAGTTTAAGTAACTTTGACCGTCGTGACCACCGACTGCATATAATAAATCGTTAAGAACCGCCACTCCCACCCCGCACCGTCGTTTAGACATCGGCGAGACCATTTTCCATTCTCCGGTCTGAGGGTCATATCTTTCCACGCTCGCGATGGCATCCCCTGAGCACCAGCCTCCTACAGCAAATAATACCTCCCCTTTACGAATAGGTTTTCTTGGTCTGGTCCTGGGTCCTTGCATTAAAGGACGCTCTTGAGGAAGTAGAAGGTAATTCTTCGCTTCATCTACTAAATCTCTACAAGCTTCATCTGATTTTATTAAGATATCTGATCCAACCGTACCAACTAGAAATTTAGGTGTGAGAAGGGGCATCCGTACATGCTGTAGAACATGGGATAGATGATTTCTCCTCTCATTGATATTATATTTAACCCAGGCCATCACAGCCTGGAAAACTTGTTCCTCGCTCCGCACATTCAGCTCGTCAGAGGATATTATATCTATGAGTTGGGAGAGGGGAAGGAGTAGGAACTCTTCATGATCCATCACTTCCTGGAAATTATGTTGCGTAAACTTATCCGCAATCCTTAGGAGTTCCCGGCACGCATGCGTATCTGCAAATGCGCGAATACCTAGACAGTTTGATGGATCAAGTTGTCTCTTGAGGAATTCACAGCAAACATCCTGAATCTCTGCTAGTTGTAGAAGACACGCTGCAGGCAGAAGGGTCTGTACATTGTTCTCCTCTACTACAATACTAGATGTGTAGCAGAAATCAATCAATATATCCATAGCAGTCTCGTCCACATCTCTGTATACAAACAACATCTTCAATGATGATAAAAAAAGTAATGTAAAAATTATAAAATCTAGAAAGGTAAGATGAAATATTTAATTTTGTCCGAAGTAAAAGCATTTTGTTGTATTTATTTAACATCTTAAGGGTCAAAAGAAAAGTTTCATTTTTACTTTCTCAGTTTTTACCTTCTATTAATAATACTTTCTTAAAAATCATGCTTTACTCTCGACACTAACAGTTAACAATCAATAATGAAAAACCGAAACAAATCTTTCATACAAAATGAAATTTTTTTTGAACTTATTTTTTGGGAAGGAATTGAACTTTTAACGACTTTTTCTCCTCAACTGATCGATAAATCAAAGACACTTTATTTTTGGATAAAGAATGTTAATTTTCCTAATAGTGACTTCTGTTTGGTTGGATTCAGACAGCGCGCCGGTGAACATAGCTCTAAAGTACGGAGAGCACGCAGCTAATATTACCTAAAAATTAAATATTTTCAAATATTTTTTTTTTTTTTTAATAATTAACTACCGATCAAAACTTTTGTGTGGAAATTGTTGATCTTGTACACTTAGTCTCGATATCAAATGTGGACACTGGACACTTTTTAATAAGAATAAATCCTTGATCTCTCTTAGGTTATGACTATCAGGGATATAAGAGAAATTAAATCAATCCGTAGATCTGCATACGATGGAGATCAATGCTTGATCCCAAGGAGTCACAACACAAAAGTTCAAAAATAAGCAAATTAATTCACAAACAAGATTTTTTTACTATTATATTATAATAATATTTACTTTTAACTTCATCTCACCTTGTGTGCATATATTTTTCTATTCCCAACATTAATGACGACATCGCATAGATCGTGAAGTTTTCGTATCAAACTCAATTCTGTTAAAGTAGACCTGACACAAGAAAAATGTTTGATATTATAATTATTACATGTTATTTTAGATATTGTAGAAAATTCATAATTTATTTTTAGATCACGGCTAATTATTTTCTATAAATTCTTTTCATACTACAGCTGCAGCTGATCAAACAAAGAACTATTAAGTTCAGTCGTTTCATTTTTTGAGAAAACAAAAATTAAAAGAAAAAAATTTAGATACCTCGCATGTTTATCACTTCTGTACTCCATCCTAGCTGGAGAAGGAGGTCTATCTACCAACATATCATGAACCATATCCCCCATCGCCACCTGGCGTCTAGTATCTTCCATCATCATAATGAACCACACCAACTTGAACCACCTCACATCGAACAGCCTGATCAGTTAGTTTTTGGGAAACATTTACTTTCAGACGTGGAACTCATCATTTTTTAATCTGAAATTATCCAATCAATTATATCTAAACTCCTGAGTTTGAATTGAAGTTCTATGATTTGTGAATTTGAAGAACTACTTTGCTTAGCTGTACCAACGAGCAACACATTACATATAGTCGACGTCGGCGTCATATTTATCAACACAATGAAGACGACTTTCCCTTTCAAATATGATTTCTACCAATTTTTCAAACAGCAAAGACACAAACATGTAAACAAAGAGAAGATGCTTGTTATATTGTGTCATTGTATTGATATAATCGCCAACCAATATACGATAGACAAACAGCTTTTTACACCTTTACTTGAAAACTCGCACGCATCCCTTAGTGCGAAATATAAATCAAATTTTTCATCATCTGTCCCATTTAAATCAATATCAATACATTATCAGAAAATAAATTTGATAAACGTTTTTTCAATCCCTCTCGTGATTTGGTTGATATTTATGTTTTAATGAATGGTATGAGAACTGGTGTATTCTCAATATAATGTTTATATGCAGGGTTGTCTCCCCACTTTTTCAGGGCAGCAGCTTCGAGCAGAGGAATACCTACAATACAAGTTTATTTTGTGCTCTACCATAAAATACATAAATTTTATTTTATTTTATTTATTTTAACAGGATTGGATCTGGTAAATTTTGGTATGCTAAAAGCAAAGATAATATATATATAGATATGCAGGCAGTTAGAAACCTCCTTCCTAAATTGCTTGTAGCAGACAACTAATTTTTGAACCTCTGAGAAAAGGTGCAAGGAGAGACATCTATAGCAAATTGATTACTTTCTATATTCCTTTCTCCCCTTGCTGCCTTCTGTAGGAAATACGCATTTGTGTTATAAAACATACAGTACGCGTATTGCATCCTGTATAGTTCAAGTGTTGCTATCTGGACCTGTTTGACCAATAAAATTAAATTTCAAGGTAACACAAACATACAGTACGCGTTTTGTTTATGTTATGATCAGATCAGTTGTACTTTGTCCTAGATTCGATGTACTTTTATAGTAATAATTTTTATTTAAATTGCGTTAATTTACGTATGCCATTCAGTACAACTTGCACATTTAAACTTTGTCTAGTCAAATTCCTACCTCAGTTTTATTTGCATTGATTAATTTGTTTCATTAAGTACAATATGCAGTATACATTGTTGATACTATAGTACGCATTTAGTGTTATCACGCATAAACAAAGTGATAAATTAGCAACAATCCAGAGGATAAAATGCCATGCGTACGACAGAGATGGTGCTGTTTGCACCTTTTCTCAAGACCTCTAAATTTATACCTGCCTGCATATCTATATATATATTATCTTTGGCTAAAAGTTTAATTTTATATTTATATCTTTAAAATAGTACCCCCTCCATGCTCCAAAGCAAGGAATAAGTCATAAAGATTTATTATTACACCAAAAAACAGTTTCGCTCAAATCTAAACTCTCTATTTGTTGCCTAACGGGCCAAAATTTCTACAAATTCAGAACGATTTATATGTTTAATGTTTTTTTAACATAAATAAATGATTCTGAATTAACTAAATCAACTAAAAAATTAAAATGAATTGATCAAATTACAAAAAGAGGATAAGCCAAGTTAATTTAATTAATGAATTTTGTTATTTGAATAGTTTGCAAATACACTGCACTGCACTGCACTGACTAGACTTATCAATCAATCATCCTGCATCATCTATTACTGGGATTGATACTTTTTTTCTTCTTCATGTATTGATACACAAGGGAAATGATTTTTATAATCGGGGGGGGGGGGGGGGGGGGGGGGAGGGTACTGAAAAATTGGACACCAAAAGGAAAGTTTCTTTTAAATTATTTTTTATCTCCAAAAAAGTTATTTATTTTTCTCTAAAAACCATTAATTTTCCCAAATTAATCAAATAAAACCCTAAAAAAAAATTACTTCTGGAGAAAAACGGGAAATAATTCGAGAAAATATACAACCCTGTATTGATATTTAAAGGAACTGTTGACTAACCTGACAGTTTGCTGATTAGAAATGAGACAAAGATTGGAGAGAGAACAGACAAGTATTGAAGTCCACTAAACACACTTGAACTAGAGATATACAAACCGAACCAGAGAACCATCTCACCAAAATAATTCGGATGCCGGGATACACTCCACAAACCAGAGCTGATAAATTTACCCTGAAAAAATAGATAGGATCTAAGATATCGAACTAGCATTATTGATCAGGAAGCTTTTAGGCCGCCAGAGACCCAAAACACCCCTTTCCCTCCCTTGATAACTTAGAGAGTTCCATATTATTCCTAAACATTTTATTTTAGAAATCCATTTTGTGTCCCAGCCGACCACTTCACTGTCCCGACTGAAATTCAAGCAGTATGACTCCCGTGTGTTATTGATGTGACCACAAGGGTTGATCAAGGGTTTAGTTCTGTAATTAATTATGTATTGGGATTTCTAAGCAATTCTTAATTTTTCGATTTTTTAAAACTTATCTCCAAATATCCAACCTCACCCTTGACTAGTATTTGACTAAATAAACCATATATTGCCAACCTTATTTTCTGGATTGTTTTTAAACATTGATTTCTGAGCATCAGCCACAACTTCTAGAATAAATCCCAGGGTCCACAGCCCCCATCCTATATAATCTCTCGTTCCAATGGGAGGGTTCCTTCGCTCACTACATACAAAACATCCAATAAGGAAATGTAAAAAAAGATTCAGCCTTTGCAGACAGAAAACAATAAAAAAGATATTCTGATTCCGAGAATAAATGATCCATTGAGAAATAATACCCGTAGTTTCCCAAGATCCTCAGTCTTCAGAAATGATAAGATTGTTATTGTTTTTAATCCTCGTTGATCAAAATGATGATCCATTGTACACTAATGATCCCTAATCTATAAAAGATGATCTATTTAAAATAATAATCAGGCCATTTATGAAGATCTTAAAAATTTTGAAGCACTTGTTGGATCCAAACTCAAACTTTAAAAAAACTATACAGTGATAACAAGAAAACTAAGGAACAGGAGAACGACAATAAGGCAATACTTGAAGTGTATTTGATGTTGTTACAAAGCAAATAGCTTTACTAGCAGCATATAAATTAATTATTAAGTGAAATGGTCTGTGAGCACTGCAAAATTACTGTGTCTCATGTACATTGGACTATTTCAGGTCTTAACTTTAGTATTATATTCTTCTTACTATTTATAGAGTTTTTTGATTCTCACTGTTGTTCATGTTTGAGGGCACTGGTTGTGTATATTATTGGTTTTATTCCTATTAAGTAGAAGGGTTGGCAGAAGAGTAATGAAAACCCAGATTCCCTGAAGGGTCCAGAACTTGAACATGATCGCAGGACTCTCCTTCGCCTTTAATATTTATATTTTATATATAATGTTTTAAAGATTATTTTGCTAAAAATAAAATAATAAAAAAATTTTCAACTTAAAAAAATCTGAGTTAATTAAACACAGCATGCATTAAACCAAATATAGTACCCATCCCTACCATCATTTTTATAATTTATAAATAGCTTTTAAAACCCTTCACTTAAAAATTATTATGCAAAAATATTAAATCAGATCACAAGTTGTAGAGATGGCCTAGAATAATATTGGGATTGGAGTCTCAAGTGCGCGCAATCAATAATAAAATAATCGCTAAATAAATAACCAACTATCCAAAAAACTAACGTAACAATATCTAAACATTACCAACTAACAGCTATCTAAAAACACAACTGAATAAAAATCTATCTGAATAACTATACAAATATCTGAATAACTAACCAAACAAATATCTGAATAACTAACCAAACAAATATCTGAATAACTAACAAAACAAATATCTGAATAACTAACAAAACAAATATCTGAATAACTAACAAAACAAATATCTGAATAACTAACAAAACAAATATCTGAATAATTAGCAAAACAAATACTGAATAACTAACAAAACAAATATCTGAATAACAACTAACCAACAATATCTGAATAACTACCCAAAAAAATATCTGAATAACTAACAAAACAAATATCTGAATAACTAACTAAACAAATATCTGTATAACTAACCAAAAAAATATCTGAATAACTAACCAAACAAATATCTGAATAACTAACCAAACAACTATCTGAATATCTAACAAAACACAAATCTGAATACAGAACAACTATCTGAATAACTAACTAAACACAATTCTGAACAACTAACCATACAACTATCCGAATGAATAACCAAACAATTATCTGAATAATTAACCATCCAATTGACAAACCAACTATCAAACCCATCAACAAACTCAATAATACTATCTAACCAACAATTAAACACTAACAATCCAACTAGTTCATCTACCATTTATTTAACCATTTAGCCTATCACCTTATCGAACCGTTTATCCTCTCCGTCCTTCATGATCCGGAGGAATAGGAAGGATCCGAGCCTGCAGGCCCACCCAAATACAAGCCAACCCTGAACACTCTGTCTCCTTGAACATAACGAAAGGGTTTAATACTTTTTTTTTACATTTTATGATTAATGAATGTGCATGAACATAAACATGAACGTAAACGTGAACGTGAACGTGAACGTGAACGTGAACGGGAACGTGAACGTGAACGTGAGCATGAGCATGAGCATGAGCATGAGCATGAGCATGAACATGAACATGAACATGAACATGAACGTGAACGTGAACGTGAACGTGAACATGAACTAACATCAACATCAACATCAACATCAACATCAACATCAACATCAACATCAACATCAACATCAACATCAACATCAACATCAACATGGACGGCGCATATATTCAAAGTTGTATTATGTGAGCATTATAAAAGAAATGTACAATCATAACAAAAAAAGAACCTGGTCATTAAGCTTGACTCATAGGCTAGATGAGAAACCAGAATAAATGTAGCGGAGCCTGAAAATTGAAAAGATAAATGGAATTTGTCAAATGTTAAAACTTGACGAGAAGTTAAAATTTCTTTGAAAAAAGTATTTCAAAGCTTTAAATTTTTTAATAATATTTAAAACTTGTGATGGAAAGAGCTATCAAATTGAATTAAATCTTAAAAAAATATTTCCCGTAAAAATGAAAGACTGAAATTTTATATTTACATTAATATTTTATCAGACCTGTGAGGTCGTAAAACTTCTCCGTCTTGAAGAATACAGCAGCCGCACACCCAATCCATTGTATCCCAACCGAGGTGTAGAGAAGTCTCAGTATTCCATTGTTCCATAAGAAATCCAACATTTTTCTGAAAATTTTACTCTTTAAGTTCCTTGAGAACCTTGAACTGTTCCTGTAACCTCTCCAGTTCCTCGTCCAGGACTCTTCTCTTCTCCGCAACTATCTCCGGAGAAGATCGGAACTGAAACTTGCCTTTCATCGACTTCTCCAATTTCTTCCTGTCCCGCTCATTCTTCCCGATCCTCTCCTCGACCTTCTTCATCTCCTTCTCCGTGTCGAGGTAGGGGCCGAGATTAAGGGCGATGGAGAGGTTCTCCACTGATGTGAGAACACAACCAACTGGAAGAGCTTTGATCTCTATTTTATTTTCAACAAAATTTATTTCTCCGCAGTTCGTCAGTCTTTGGATTATTTCCCTAAAAAACGGTTAATATATTTTATGAAATTTACGTTGATTCAAAAAAATTTACGTTAATCAACCCCCGTAAACTGGTCTAACTCAACTACTGAATGCTGGTCATCACAATGAACTATCACAGCCGGGTTGGATCCCTTGATCAAGGAGTAGTTTGCCTTCAGTCCCCTGATACCGGAGATTATTTTAAGGACGGTTTCCATGAGATCTTCTAGGTTCGGATTAATAAATCCACTCCACTGAACCCCAAGGGGAAAGTTTTCAACCATTATTGATTCTTTGCGCTTTTCACTTGGTAACTAAATCCAATCATATCTTGTTTTTCCTTATTTTATATTTTTGTTGTAATATGATTGTACAACTATTAACTTAAATAATTGAAAATCTAACTTCAGCAGATAAAAAAGAAAACCAGATAAAGTTTGTTATTAAAAATATCAGAAATGTTAAGTTTCTTAAAAAATTCTTAAAATAAGTTTTCATTATGGTTTATCGATTTAGAGGAAAAATATGTTTGCCTTTGGTAATCTATGATACAGTTCTTCTGTTATGAACGGCATGATGGGATGGATCATCTTGAGAGAGGAGAGGATACAAGAGTGCAGGAAGAGTAGACTGGGCAGAAAACCAGGATCTTCAGGATTCTGAACACGGTTCATTGTGAAAAGGTTTCACGGATTTATTAAATAGGGGACATATTTTTGAACAATGGCGGTCATTAAAAACAAAATAGCGGCCATTAAAAACAAAATAGCGGCCATTACAAATAAATGGCGGACATTAAAAACAAAATGGCGGGAAAGAACTCAAATAGTTAACCTAATTTAGATTTCATGTTACCTGAATATTTTGTTTTATGTATTCAACATAAACATCACATACGTCTCCGTATAAGAATTTTCTAAGTTCCTTTTCCACATTGTGCAGGTTTCTCGCTTCATATTCGCTATTCACACTGAAAACAGATGCTTAGAAGAGATTCAAACGACTTGGAGTTTGATCAAATCTGCAGAGCTTATATTTTTCATACCTTGATACTGTTCTAGCCAATTGGTTGAGGATCCACATATCTATTAATCTTGGCTGGAAATCCGTAGGTATTGCTGATAAATTTGTTCCTGCGTCAGACGTCTAAAAATAATTTTATTTCTAATTTTCTAAACATGAAATATATAAATTTAAAAATAAGAGAAAAGGGTTTTTAAAAAATGGGAGTTAGTAAAAAATGAAAAAAAAAAATTACCGTTTGATGTGCCATATTTAGGAACCTAGAAACTTGCCATATTTTGTTACACCAGGCCCCTGCTCTAGGTACTAAACTTAGGTCTAGGTTTATATATTCACTTTTCACATCGTAACTGAAATACAAAATATATTACAAAAAAATAACAATCAAAACTGTTTTAAAAAGGGACTGCAAGCGTAATTTCAAGTCACACTCAAGGCAAAGATGGCCATTACCGATTCACAATGGTACCCTTTAAAGAGTTAACTGATCAAGTATGAATTAGACACAAATATTTTTTAATTATTTAAACTGTTCATTTTTATTTGCAGGTTCTCTGCAAAAGTGACTTGCGCATTTCTTGTGGAAAAGAAGCAATGGAGAAATTTTAAAATAAAACGACGGTATCATCCACATTTTAATCAGATTAAGGTTTCAAGGGTAAATAGAACTTTGCAATCTTTGCATGGAGGGTCATTTGAAATTTTGCTTGCAGTCGTTTTATAATCATAAACAACAAACCTTAATAAGGCCCATCTAAGCTGGTCAGCCCCGCTAGCGGGAATACCCTTAGGGAACTGTTTCTCCAGGTTAGATTTAGATACTGAAACCTCATCCTCGCTCAAGTACCCGTTCCTAACCAGGACATACGGTTACTCTTGGTTTTAGTATAATAAATACATAGGTTCTTTTAACAATTCTATCTTAATCCCCTTGGCTGTCAGTCACAGTGAAACACTCAAATTAGTCATTAATAGTTTAATTTAACTAAAATAAAAGTTTGTTCGCCTTCCGTAATTTTATATTTTAATTTAATTAATGAAAACTAATTCTTACTTCGCGCTTATATCCAGATCTTGCTTCAGAGATTCTAAACTTGATCCTCTAATTATATTCAATGGATCGATCACGTTACCTAAATATTTATTATTTTTTTCTCTTAAAATTGCAAAACATCAATTACAATAATTTAAAACAAAAAAAATATTCAACAAAAATTACAATAATCAAAAGGTATAACTAAACAAAACAATAGTAATATCAAACTTGGTTTAAGATTACTGAAACTGAAACTGAAACTGAAACTGAAACCGAAACTGAAAATGAAACTAAAACTAAATCTGAAATTGAAACTGAAAATGAAACTAAAACTGAATCTGAAATTGAAACTGAAAATGAAACTGAAAATGAAAATGAAACTGAAACTGAAATTGAAACTGAAAATGAAACTGAGCTTTCTGTGTAAACGAATTTTAAAACTCTGCTAAGAACATTCCCGTGGTTTTCCCAGTTCCCCGATCAAAATTTGAGGTAAATCAGTCCAGGGGTTCCTAAGTTATGATCGGACATCCAAATCAAACAAACAGAGATTACTACTACTTCATAATGTGGACAACAGGTTTTCCTTTTTACCTAGAGATTTTGACATTTTCCGTCCCTGTGAATCACAGATGATGCCGTGCAGCATTGCATCATGAAACGGTAACTGACCTAGAAAGAGAACTGGTCAACTAACTAATATAAAAATGGGAAATTGAACCAGGAAAAAAGTCTTAAAAAGAAGGTTGATGAAGGACATATTTTCAAAATACAATGGACAAAATAAAAAAAATTGATCGAAACTGGTAGGTAGAACTGTATTCTTTGGAATAATAAAACAAACTGAAGAACACCTGTGATGCAAGAAAAATTCTCATAATTGTCCCAGGAACAAACTGCATTCTTCCCACACAATAAATCAAAATTTTAAACCAAAAGTAAAACATCAGAATAAAATTAATTCAGAAGCTCTATAACCTAGTTAACTTATATATCAGTGTGCTGTGTGAATATGTGATATGGACATGAACGTGTAAATTATTTTGTGGAAAATTTTCTTCTCAAGCGGACTCTTTTCCCTTATCATTACTTTGTAGAACTTCAGCTTCATCAAAATGTTTTTATTAGATTTTTAAGATAAACCCGTCTACGCGACCTTCACACAACGCATGAAATAAATAGCCTGATTCAACTTCTGTTATAAAAAACAAGATAAGAACTAAACAGAGCTATCCTACTTAGTTAAACAAACCTTAACCTTCTATCCTTAGTTCTTGACAGTCTATCCTTAATTCTTAACCTTCAATCCTTAGTTCTTGACAGTGTATCCTTAGCTCATAACCTTCTATCCTTAGTTCTTAACCTTCTATCCTTAGTTCTTAACCTTCTATCCTTAGTTCTTGGCAGTGAATCCTTAGCTCATCTTAGTTTTTAACCTTCTATCCTTAGTTCTATTTCTCCTCGCCTAAAACCATCTTGTTTACCTGTTAAACCAATACCAAGCATGACCATCCTGGCGACCCAGAAGAAGAGAATATCGTGACCTGTCTCCATCAGATCCAGGGGGTAGAACTGGGATAGCTCAGGGGTCTTCTCAGGCCAACCAAACACTAACATCAATCAATCAATCAATCAATCAATCAATCAATCAATCAATCGTCTTACTGAAAATGGTAAATGCCAATCATTCAATCATTTATACTTCACAAAACTCAACCAAACTTTATAAAATAACCAATCAACCAATCATGCAATCATTTAATCGCTCTATCAATCATTAAATGACTCAATCAATCAACTGATCAATTTACCCATGAATCAATCTTCTAGTGATCAATCAATTTGCCAATCATTGAATTAATTATCAAACAAACAACCAATCAATTGACCAACCAACCCAAAAAACTTAAAAGAAATGATTTGTATAGAATATAATTGACACCTGCAAATGGATAAATCCCACTTGAAAACCAGGTATCCAAAACATCCTCGTCCTGTTCGGCAATTAGTTCAGATACAGCACATCCTAAATTTCAAGAATTATTCGCCAACTTTATTCAACTTTATTCAATTTTGTCCAATTTTGTCCAATTTTGTCCAATTTTGTCCAATTTTGCTCAATTTTGTCCAATTTTGTCCAATTTTGTCCAATTTTGTCCAGTTTTGTCAAATTTTGGCACATACTGTCACACCAACTGTAAAACAGTGACAAAATTTGTCAAACATTGTCAAAAATTGTCCTTCCTGGCTTTACTTAGTGTCGTGCTTAATTTCTTCCCCAGAAAAATTGAAATCTTTCTTCATTGATGTCCCCTAAAAATATTTCATTTTCCCCAATTCTTCGTAAAAACCCTAGCAAGCATATATAACTTATGGGGCGAAAAATTAATTTCAAAAGTGGGATGGGGGGGGGAAGGGGAAGAAAAAATATACACTCGTGTTCTTCCCCTGCGGTAGTTTAACCCACCACAAGGTTTAACCATTTCAACGCAATGATAGACATAAAAAGCAATGTTGAAAGATTAGAAATAATGGAAGTACATTATTTTTTTAAATTAAACAATTAATATTTATCAGAGACATGGATAACTTTTTACACGCTTTACTATAAATAATACATTAATATCATATATTGCCTTTTATCTCTAATATTGAGGTAAAATGATTAGATTAGTGAGTATATCTGACAGAAAACTTTAGTCCAGAGTTGCAGTTAACAAGATTTTGTGTTGACCTAATATATTTGAAGCACGGAGTAAAGCTTGATCTTTACTTTCTGCAGCAGTCCAGACCCCTTTCTCCTCATCTCCATCCTATTCAAATTAAGATTATGAGGAATATTACTTGGATTCAAGAATAACTTAACAGCATTCTCCCATCAGTTTCTATAAGAGCAAGGAATTTAATTTTAAGATTTTATATTAATATTTTTTATTAATTTTGTTCTAGAAATCGATCTATAGCTGGAATTGAACATTTTTCTGGGAACTTTCATAGGGCTTGAGTCGATACCTTTCACGGAAACTTTTCATTAAACGGACTGTAAGCGTAATTTTAAGTGACCCTCCAAGCAAAGATGAAAATATCCGATTTACAACGGTACCCTTGAAACCTCAATCTGATAAAAATATGGTGTTTTTCCGATGATAATAAAGAAATGCGCAAGTCAATTTCGTCGAGAACCCGCAAATGAAAATAAACCCCTGAAACTAACCTTGCAACAGAACCAAGCTGGTATTCTATGACCCCACCACAGTTGCCGTGATATACACCAATCCCTAAACAATTAACAGGTTACTTGTTTATCAAACAAAATTTTATTCAGCTCTTAAATTTAAGTATTTCTCGAGAGAAATATCTAACTAATGTTTAGTTTTTCTAAACGCTGAATAAAATAAAGTTTGTATTTGGTAAATTAATCAAAAAAGAAGTTAATCTTACTTTGTTTTTTCGTTGGACAAAAATCGTTCCCAGACTGGATTGTTTGTGTCTGGATCCAATATCAGATCTTTATCCTTGACTGCATCCCGAGCCAGCTCAGCGATCTTACTCGTGTCAAGAAACCACTAAAACATTAAAAATATTGAAACCTTTAAAATTTAATCACGATCAGAGAAAAAAATCAGGTTTAAAGTTTTTAGGGAAAAATACATGTATTTGGTTGATATGATTTTAAAAATCACTAGCTGAAGGTCCCGGCATTGACCATGGATAAAAAAATTAAAAAAAATAAAAAATCTTGAAAAAAATAATTCGATTTTTTTTTAGCCTATAACAATGGGCCACCCATGAGTGTTCACAAAATAATTCAGCCCAATCGGTCCAGTCGTTTGGCCGGCTATACGCAACATATATATATACGAATTATTATTATATAGATTTATTATATAGATTATGAGTAATATTTCCCCCCCCCCCCCCTCCCGCAATACAGACTTAACTACAATCAAATGTAAATCTGAAAGAGAGCCAAAAGGAACCCTAAGGCTCAGACTTTTTGCTCTCAAATCACTAATCTGAACTGTTAAAAAAAAGAGAGATTATTACAAATTTACTTATATCTGGTTAATCATAAGCACAAAAAGATAAAAAATTACCCCTGTCAATCTCGGAGAAATGTGCAGGACCTGGATCCTGATTTTTTCCGACTTTTATGACGACTCTAAGATCCGAATCCAGAAAAAATGAAAAGGATCCTAAGCACTGACGAAAACATTAGAATCTGAAAGATTTAAGAAAAGTGTGAAATTTTTTACCTGAAACTTCATCATTGGTTCTACAATATCACCAGTTCTCCCGCACACAGGAACAGACATGCCGTGCTCACGATCTCCCCGGTACAATCCTAATTCATCCAGGCGCGCGCAGATAGATTCACGAACTGAAAACCTGTGCTGCCCACAGAACTCGGGAACAATCTCGTTCAAGGTTCCGTCAGGGTTAAGTATATTGATTGATTTCAGAGAATGCCGCGCACCCATTTCAAAATCGTTAGGGTCGTGCGCCGGAGTTATTTTCACGGCTCCGGTACCGAAGGCGGGATCGACGTAAGTATCGGCGATGATTGGAATCTCTTCTTGTCGGAAAGGATGCCATGCTGTTCTGCCGATCAAATGAGAATAACGCTCGTCTCTGAAAAAGAGTTTACATAAAAGAAAATCCATAAAAATTTATAATTTTAAGTTTTTAAATTTTCTTACGTTGGATTAACGGCAATAGCTGTATCTCCCAGCATGGTTTCAGGTCGTGTTGTTGAAACAATTATCTCTGCTTCACTGTTTGTTAACTGAAAAAATGTCAAGTTTTAAACACAATGTTTTTTATCTCGATTAATCTTACAGAGGTTTACGACGAAAATATTGAGATATCTTTGTTATTACTGGTTTTCGTCTCAATTATGCTTACAGAATTTACGACGTAAATATTTTAGACATCTATGTTAACATATTTTTCCTACCTTATACGCAATATCAGTAATAACACCCAACTCAACTGGTTCTCTGAAGAACATTATAAATAGATAATGACGTAATAGTTTGGCACGACACACCTTTTCTTCTGCTTTAAAACAAAATTAAAATAATCCATAAACAAAACATAAATACAAATATATCTGTCAAATTGCATCATTCAAACTCAGTGCATATTGGGGTAGGCTTAAGATCACGAAACAAAAATTGGAGCTCACCCATATAGAGGATGTATATTTTATTACATTTTATTACATTTGGAAAATAATTTTTCCTAAAGTTTTTTTTAAGGGTTTTATTCACAGAATTTCAGAATATAATAAATTTTTGTTAAGAAAAATTTTTCCTTTATTTATCCAGATCCAGTGCATCAAAGTTCATCCCCCCCCCCGCCCCGAGGGGAGGTGGGTTATTCATGAAAAAAATTTTCCAATGCAAAAATACTCTTTCAAATTCAATTGTTTATTACAGATGCCGGAGTGACAGCTGTCCACTAAATGAATGATAATAATAATGATAATAATAACACACAAGTACCTGTATCCTGGGATGTCAAAGAGTGAACGTTTGTCAACATTTACATGCGTCACTTCAATATCCGATATAGTAGACTGAAGGACACAAGACCAGTTCACCAGGGACTTCTTCCGGTAAATTAATCCTATAAAAAGTGTAATTTGTATTTTTTGATATATTTTTTATTTTCTTTTTTTTTTTAAATCTAGATATTTATTATCTCCGTATCGAGACTATATTAATTGTACAAAATTGTTTTCATGTATTAAATAAAACTATTATACGATAATATCGTGAACATACACCTTTAAATCAATTAGGAAGAATTAATTACGGATACATTTTATTGTTTTTCCTTGCCAAAATTGATGATACATTTATATTCAAGTATTTTTTATTTTCAATGTCATAGTTTCAGGTTTTCTTTTGTACCAATTTTATATTTTGCTTTACTTCCTGACTGAAGGAAAGGGGTAAAAGTATATATTTTGTTGAAAATCATATTTTATATAATTCCCCCACCCCCCACAGTATACTAGGATTTTTTTTTTGATTTTATCATTAAGTCAGAGATATTAAATGATTTTTTTAATATAAAAATACACAAAAAAATACAAAAAAATTTAATCTTGGAATATCACACAGCCCCCATAATTTTTTTTTGAAAATACATTATATTTACTATTGGTACCTTTATTAAATAACTGAATGAATGCTGTATTAACACTATTAGTATATTCAGGACTCATGGTAAACTGAGTTTTATCCCAGTCCAGTGAAGCCCCTAGTTCCTCCAGCTGTCTACAAATACAAATCTGTCAAAGAGGGCTCTCATCTGTCTTGTTGCAACTAGCTGTTATAATGTTGAAATTCAAAAATATAGTCCCACCCTCTTTAAAGTTCAAATTTTAGATAAGCTTTCGTGTGGTTTGCATTGCAGGTTTAGGTTTTAGATTTTTTTAAAATTTTTTAAATCCTTCAAGTGGACTGTAGACGCAATTTAAAAGCGACCTTTCTTTTATAGGGTGGCATGTCCGATTCTCAACGCGCGACGGTACTCTTAAACATTTGACTGGAAATCAGAATTTTAAAACTTCATTAAGGGGACTTCAGACGTAAAAAGTGACCCTCCATTTATTGAGTTGGTGACAAGTCCGATTTCCAACGAGACTCCTAAACCTTTGTCTGGAAATCAGGCGCGCAACTAGACATTTGGTTAGAGGGGGGCTAGGGGAATTTTTTTTTGGCCCCCCCCCCTAAACATTTTTAGGGGGGGCAAGAAAAATGTGTGTTATACTTAAACAATAAAAAAACTAACCTTACCAACCGGATATTCAGTTATAAGTCAACACATCTGATATTTATAAATTTTCATTAGTTATCCATAAATCAAATATGTACATTGTACTCAAAAACTGACAAGAAATTCCTTTTATTAAAAATTCATGATTTTACATGAAAAATATTCTTTTTAATATGACACATCACACAATATTTGCAGTGAACATGTAGGATTAATTGAATAGTTGTACTACAGTATTAAAGCAATATCATAATAATTGGCAGAACTGATAGTGAAAATATCTAAAAAATACTTGATAAACCCCCTTTCCCTTTCCCAGGAAAAAACAGCATAATGAAAAAAAAAACAAAGATTAAGGCACATTGGAACCTTGTCAAACTGTTCTGATCTACGGCAGTAGTTAGGCTCGGAGACGAAGGGGGTCTGTGTGTGTGTATATGGTGTATTAAGTGCTATATCGATTGAACTATAAGCTCAATAAACTAAAGTTCAATTATCTTTTTTTTTATTTTACGATAAGAGCTCTTAAATTTCCTCAGGGTCAGGATTCATGAATCGCTAAATTGCAAAACAGGGTGGACTTCGTCATTTCTTGCAAGACTTCTTAAGGGAGGGGCATGCCCCCCCCTTAATCAGGCTAGGGGGGGGGCCGGCCCCCCCTAGTTGCGCGCCTGCTGGAAATCAGGATTTTTAAATCTATCAAGGGGACTGTAAACGTAATTGTAAGTGACCTATTTATCTCAAGTTATTTTCGATTTCTGTTGCAGAAACAATAGATGAATTGTGAGGATTAGACACTTTTAGCTATCAGCAACACTTTTGTTGAGATAAAGGTTTATAGGATACTGTTGTAAATCAGGCACGGTACTCTTTAAATGTGGGGTCACTTGAAATAACAAAGACAGTCCCTTTAATCAATTAATAAATTATAGTTATGATGGACTCACCCTAGTATAGAGTCCCCCTTTAGCTTCCTCCAGTCCCAGACCCTGTTAAGAAACTGTTCTTTGCCCAGGTCGTACCGGGTCAATCCCTCCTGGGCCATCACTTGCTTCTCAACTACAATCTACCTTATACAAGAACCTGTCAGCACACTGTAAACTCAAGTTCATTTCAAGTACCGGCCCTATTTTTAACCAGCTAGAGCCACTGTACTGTGTAACATACAGACTATATAATATAAGGAAAACCGGGACAGTACACCAAATAATTCAGCCCCTTCTTTCCAGGAAATTTCTTGTGAGCAGGGCCGGGGGATATATTTTCAACTAGAAAACATTCCCTCTTCATTCGAGATTCAGCAATATCAGAGGCGTACTTATGGGAGGGGCTTTCGGGGCTTAGCCCCCCCCATCCCACTGGATCAGTGAAATCTATGGTTTCCTGGTTTTTTTTTTTGGGCTGAGTCTCCCCTAGAAAGAAAGTAAATTTAGCCCCCGGCCACCCCTCTGAATAAATTCCTAAGAACGCCCCTGAGCAATATAAAATAACAATTTAATGCATGTCAGCTTTTAAAAGATATTTAACTCAACTAATATAAAAATAAAAATTCCAAAATAATCAAGCTAAAAAAAAACATACTAACATTTTCTATTTTTAGGGGGGAACATACCTGAGTTGCAATACCGGCATGATCACTTCCCGGTATCCAGGTTGTTTCGCATCCTCTCATCCTGTGATATCTAACCAGAGCATCCTGCACAAACGTTCTGGTAAAGAATAAACCCATCAGAAAAATGTCTGATAAAACAAGAAAAAATAGCTAGAAAATTTAAATAAAACTCGAACTTTGTTTATTCATCACGACAAACCAAAATCCATAATATCTATATCAAAGAAGAACATTACGGAATGAACAATAATTATCATTCTGTTAATTCTCTAGAAATACCTGTATTGACGTAGTTAGAGCATGCCCTAAATGAAGAACTCCTGTAACGTTAGGAGGAGGTAGAACCATAGAGAACCTGCTCTTCTCTCCGACCTTCCTCTCTTTCTTCCCTCCGTACTGGGGGGAGAAGAACCCACTCTCTCTCCACCATTGATACCAACCCTGCTCCAGTCCAGCATTATACACTGCAGGAAAACTAGACTCAATATCCTTCCTAAATTAAAAACTCCTCAAATAATAACATTTGTAGAGTGAGAAGTGTAGGTAGAACTGTTGGTAAAGGGAGGATAGATATGGGTTGCGTACATTTTACTTTGACGTAATAACACTGCTGAGGAGTCAAATCTTCAAGCAAATTCCATCTCCCCTCCCCTCTTTTCAGTCTAGTTCTGATCACATTGGTAAATCAAAAATCAGATTACACAGCTTATTATAGGCTTGCTTTTGCTATTCTGGTATTCTTACAATGACGAGCATAATCGAAAGAAAGCTGATAATCATTATTAAAAACCAGATAATACCTGAATAGAACTGTACCTGGATAGACGGAATAAGCACGCAGAAGAGAACTGTACCTGAATAGACGAACCGAGAACCCTGAGCAGAACTGAACGAGGATAGACGAACTGAGCACCCTGAGCAGGACTGTACCTGGATTGACGGAATAAGCACGCTGAGTAGAACTGTACCTGGATAGATGGAATGAGCACTCTGAGTAGAACTGTACCTGGATAGATGAACTGAGAACCCTGAGTAGAATTGTACCTGGATAGATGAACTGAGAACCCTCAGTAGAATTGTACCTGGATAAACAAACTGAGAACCCTGAGTAAAACTGTACCTGGATAATGAACTGAGAACCCTGAGTAGAATTGTACCTGGATAGATGAACTGAGAACCCTCAGTAGAATTGTACCTGGATAGACAAACTGAGAACCCTGAGTAGAACTGTACCTGGATAGACGAACTGAGAACCCTGAGTAGAGCTGTACCTGGATAGATGAACTTAGCACCCTGAGTAGAACTGTACCTGGATAGACGAACTGAGCACCCTGAGCAGAACTGTTGAACACTCTTACGTTCTAATCTCGACAATTTTAACATTTTGTCTATTATAAACTATTTTCTTTAAATTCTTTATAAATTAATAAACTCTTAAAATTTCATTTAAATTTATGGGTTTGTCATCACAATATTTAGTAAAAATCTATATAAAAATAAAAACAAATAAATACTGTAAAGTACGTAACACTTGAATTATTAATACTTAAATTAAAATAAATACTTTTTGTAATTTTATAATCATGACAGCTTCACAAAGATGGCAAATCGTATTACATGAATATCAAGATAAGGCACACATTGAGCTTGGTTTATAAAGATACAAGAACCATGTTTAATCAAGTAGGATTATGAGCACTGCGCAAAGAGAGGTTTGATCTATAGCCGGAGACAGAGGAAGTTAGCGTTCTCCTTCTCTGCTACATATCCTAGCCCGGTGTAGTACGCCATCATAGCGTCAGTACAGTTCAGGGTTACCTAGAGATATTTAGTATAGGTTTACAGAATATTACATGATGTACAATTCAGGGTTACCTAGAGATGTTTAGTACAGGTTTACAGAATATTACATGATGTACAGTTCAGAGTTTTCTAGAGTACATACAGTGCAGTTAAATTCTAATCAATTACAGTACATTTTCGGACTTGTATGATTACATACAAGTTTTTTTAGGAATCATTGATGTGAACTTATTTAACTTCAATAAAAAATAATTAATTTCAAAATTACGATTACCTTGTAACATCCCAACTTTTTTGCCAAGGGTTGAAGAATTCCAACTGCAAGTTTTCCCAACTGTTTACCTCTATACTCATTCTTAATATATTATTTTAATTTCAAACGTAAAATCAAGTTGACATTTTTCTAAGAAAATTATTTTTGAATTAAAAATTAACTGGTTGCAAATCTCTTATCATATTTAAATTTCAACCCCAATATTTTGTCTACTTTCTCCCGAAGTAAATCCAACAATTTTTTTTAATATTTATCCAAAATTTAAAACTTAATATTAGTAATCATTTATCAACAGTAACTTCAGGTCTGAGAGAAAATCTATTATGGAAGCCAATATGAATAAGTGTATCGGAAACTTTACAGAGCCATATCTTTGGCATAGAAGGTCACAGAACGCTCATCTTCGGGTTCCGGGATTTTTTTAATATCCAAAATTGTATGCAAAATTTTAGCCAAATCTGTGACATGCCGTCCATCAGGTGGCTGACTTGACATGGAATGACCCTGTATAATAAATGTATATATTTACCGAGACGACGACATCCTCTACCCTACCAACCCGGCCACAGGCGTGGATAAACTTTTTCTCAACTACAAGAGTAGCGGCACCAATCACCTTAACATAACAAGATCAAACGTCAGTTTTTTTTAGTCTTGCTTTTAAAAGAGATTTATTAATAATCTACAAATATACCAACAAAAAATTCGAAATATGAAATTTTACCTTCTTTAGCAACGTATCCTCTATAACAGTGATGTAGTAAGTATTCTTGCAGGCCTTGAGGTCATCAAACCTGGCCTCCCAGGCCTCTCTTGATATATCTCCAACAGAGGTTAACTCTCCGAGGAGCTGCAGGAAACCTCTCTCATAGTCCTGGAAAAATATCACTCCAAGTATGGATTTCTATTAGTCAAAGGGTTAAAGATTTAGTGACGAAACTTCAACCAGCAGAATCTGAGCTGCGCCGCTGAACTACATCCTGCCGGTACAAATTTGAACAGCTGTTTCAAAGTTAAAGATTAAGGAAGGATTTGAACCGGCGTCAGGCAGTTCAGCCAGGTCTTCCAAATGCTTGTCTTAGAAACATAGAGATCGAAGCCACAAAATATCTGCACTTGGCCAATGTGAGATCACACAAAAACACGAGTCAGCTGTTTTGATTGCATGTTGCAAGACCCCGCCAATTTTCAAATTTTTCAGTTCAAACAATTTGGGAGAGCAGCGGAAATCATATCATGGCATGGATTAATATGTAAAACAAACATTTTTAATGGCCTAATTCAGATCGTTTAGAATGTTTAATTTCTGTTACTACTAATGAAAGGAAGAAAAAGTAAAAGTGAAAAAGGGTTGAAAAGTTTACCCCCTTCTATATAATTTATAGTCTTGGATAAAACTATTAAGGATCTCAGTCTTTGCCACAAACTCAAATTATCTAATTCTGTATATTTTATTCTGTGGTGTAAACTTTTGATAATTCAAACTTGTACTATTTGATCTAAGAGAATTCATAATTTGACATACCTAAGGTTTGCAAATACATAGGTTCTTGAGAAAATCAGAGTTTGTGACAAAGCATCAATTCCTTTAGGCTTAATGTAAATTTATTTCAGCTTATAGGTCTCCCCACCAAAAGTTTCAAAATTACAATGGTCGACCACATGATGACTCTTGATTGTGGTCGTATGAATTATCTATCTATCAGATGAAAATTGTGCGTAAGACATCTAGCGGTCAAACTATCATCCCCTGAAGTACGTAAACATGACGACCACTTTGTAGACAAGAACCGGAATCAGGACTAACAATCTGCTCATCACCAAACTCTTAATATCAGAAATTTACCTCTTTAGCCAATGGCCGGACTTTTAATCCTTCCCCAGGATTCAACATCGACACTTTGGGGTTGAACTTTGCACTTGAATTATCCAGGTTTAGATCTAACAGGACATCAGGAGAATACAGATATTCGTCAGCTAAACCCATTCTTAATCTGAATAATCTAAGATTTCAATGGAACGGATTTAGCATGTTATTCCGAGATTTACGTAAAAAACACAATTTTTAAGAAGTTAACATATGTGACCTGTAAAACCCTTAACCTAGGTGCAAATAAGTCACAAAATAATCTGATATGTATGTATGTGTGTATATATATATATATATATATATATATATATATATATATATATTTACAATAATTCGTTCACGAGAAAAAGACGAGAAAGGTAGGTTGCACGAAAAGATTTGAACAGAGACCTCCGAGATCAAAATTTTTAATTCTGCAAGTTTTAGATATTTAAATTGGTGAAATAACAGTGAAATAATAAGGAAAAAGTACAGACGAACAGATCAAATGTCGACATGACTAGGTAATTTCCTAGAGAACGATTTTTGGACCCCCCCCTCCTATCAATTTTGTACATGGGTCTGACAGGAAGTGTCTTAACGTAACCTAACCCGTGGCCGCAGCGCTCGGCCCCCTAGCCTGTCCTAGCCGCAGCGCTCGGCCCAGAAAGTGTCTTAACTAACCTGACCCGTGGCCGCAGCGCTCAGCCCCCTAGCCCATCCTAGCCGCAGCGCTAAGCCCAGAAAGTGTCTTAACCTAACCTAACCCTAAATAACAAAAAAATAAATAATAATAAATTTGCTGAAAATAAATGGTCATGTACAAAATTGATAGGAGGGGGGGCTCCGGGGGGGGGGGGTCCAAAAATCGTTCACTAGGACAGACCCCATGACTAAATAATTGATATTTACACCATGCAATACTAATTTAACATTTGCCTTAAACAACAGAAAACTTTCAGTTTTAACAACAATTAATATTAATTTATCAGACATAATCTAACCAAAATCCTTATTATTCATGAAAATGGGTTAGGTGTAAGTTTATAAAAGATGAAAGTAAAAGATAAGTTTCTATAAAATCCTGTGCCCGGAGGAGTGTACACTAGAACGTAGAGTGGTGTGTACACAAAGATTTAAATATCCAGAATGAAGACGACAACTCCGGATTATTCAATCAATAAACTAATAAAAATTCTTGAGATAAGAGAATTTTAAAATAAGAGCGTCGAAAACTTAAGGAGAGCAAGGGCGTATACAGGGGGGCAAGGGGGCAATACCCGACCCTAGAACTGTAAAGGGGGGGGCGTAGCCCCCCATAGAACTCAGAGCTTACACTTTTCATATCTTAAACTCAGGAGTGAAGAACATAAAAAAAAATAGTTTGCTGTTCATTCAGTGCATTAAAAAGATTGTATACGTGGACCAGAGCCACCATGACATAATTATTCTCTGGACCTTTGTCCTTTTTTTTCATCTCATAGAATTTTAGTTTAAGTTGAGTTTTTCATTTTCAAAAATATCTTTTACTATCTCTGTTTAAATACTAATTATTACTAACATAACAGTATAATAAAAAGTCGTATTTTTAGAAACATTTTTTTTTCTGCTATAGTTTTGTTTGAAGGAGAGATAAAGTAAAGTACATGGAAGGTAATTAAACTGTATGTGTACCTTTAAGCATCTTTATATCGAAGGTTTACATCATAAGGTTGCAAAGATATAGGTTTTACAAAAACTGAATTTGTTGCAAAGACTCAATTCCTTTGTCTATTTCCTGTTTGTATACAAAAACAAGGCTGAACTGGGCAAGCCCATAGTATTTAAGGCGAAATCTGAGAAATATTTTATTTTTAGGTTTTTTTTTTAAATCTACGAAAAAATGGTGGCAGTTAAAGGAAAATTTTGAGAGCTAATTTTAATGCTAGATTAAAAACGAAAGTTTTCTAACCAATTCTGCTAAGATTTTTAAAAAGAGCAAGACAGTTTATCATCTCTCCTCCAGTGAGTCTCCAATCTACTCTCCAACCCTCTATATTGAGATCATGTTCCGACCATTCTTGAGGTTGAGACAGTTTCAAGATATTTCCATCATCTCCAGATACATAAATATCTGTGCTGTCGACTACTATATCTGTCAAAGCTACTCCAATATCTTTCTTTCTAAAATTATAAACAAGTTGTTTCGGTTATGAGAGAGAGGGGGGGGGGGAGTTTTGAAAATAGGGAGACATCCCCTAGAAGTTTCTTGTTTAAAAGTTTACCTGCACTGTCTTGTACTAATCCCCCTCCCCTAGATTTATTTCTGTTTACGCCCTTGAAGGAGGGACGTACAATTCAAATCTAATTGTTAAACTTCCAGAATGTTGTTTACTCGAAAGGTCTTGTTGTCTTTAATTTAAATTCAAATGCCTTTTTTAGATGTACATTCAATCTATCAAGACAATTATAATACATAGCTATATATTATACATATATATTCATATTCAGGGGGGGGCTACCGGGGCTTATCCCCCTTGGATCAGTGAAATATACAATGGGGTTTTGGGCTCAAGAGAGCGTACAATGAGCCCCCCCCCCCTTCACCTGTAAAGAAAGAACAAATTTTTATCCCCCACTCTGGAGTCTGGACATACTTCTGACTACACCCCTATATGAATATGATTATGTATAGCTTTAACATTGAAATGTATGTAACAGATCTTGTTCAGGGAAAAAGGATTGTTTTAAAACTATATATTAAGATAAGTTTACATTTTATGACTATAATTATTAGAAAAATCCCTGTATAAGGCTTTGAGGTTTTGTGCTACAGGGTTACCCATAAAGGATGAGACTTCAGAGAAGACTTTACGGAATTTATACTGTTTCCTTATATTCATACCTCCCTGCCACTGATAAACTTCTTTCTTTTTTGCCAAAACATTAAATAAGCCATTTAAAGACTATATTGAAGGCAGAGAGATTGTCATATTAGAAGAGGTTTAGGTCTTCTTTACAGTCTCATCTTTTATGAGTAATCCTGTACATGATAACGAACTAAATTAATAGTAGATTTGGAATGAATTCATGATAAATTAGATACCTGGTTCTGAAACTCTTTAACGCATGGAAATCTTGAAATTGGGAGCATTTACAAAACGTTTACCGACAAGAGGTTATAAAAAAAATTTATGGCAGGGGCTTACTATGGGGGGGGGGGGTGGTCTTAATCCTGTGTACCAACTGACCGTACCCCCTAGGCCCCCCTGGCCCAGGTCTAATATATTTATATTATTCTTTTCTTATCAATTGACACTTGTCTATTTTATGATAATTTTCCAAAATCCTTCAAGTAGACCTTAATCTTATTTACATTTTTTCTTAACATATGTTTTTTTAGGGGGTTAAACAACGAGGAGTTAGTGAGGAATACTAATAAAAAGTTAACAATTATTCTATGGTTTAATATTTATTCAATGAATCAAAGTAACTAGTTCTTCCGTTTCTGGACTTTTTTCTTTTTTCTTTATCAGGAAGAAAAGAGTAAATTACAATTGTCTTGTCCCTAAAATAAAAAAAATGGTAAAATATTTTTTAAGAGATTGAATTTTATGAATGAGTGACTATTAGAAAAACAAGATACAACTGGTTCAACCACTTCTTCTGTATTGTAGTTAAGCAGACAGGCTGAAACAAAGCCTGTCGAATATTATAATTTCTCACTGAATACGAAATCACCAGATGCAACGGATTAGCACAATCTTCAATAATTTCACAATCACTTTTCAGAGTATAGTTGAACGGAACCTTGTTCAAATTGAGTATTGACCCACATTCATAAAGGAATTGAATATTTTCCACTCAAATTTTATATTTGGTCATAAACCTTTGATATTTCAAGCTAATTCTGTTATACCAAATAAAATCAAAGGTTGCAAAGATATAGGGATTATAAAATTTGAGTTTGTGACAAATGCTCAGTTCTTTTGGCTGGAAAATTTAGACTTTTATGAACACACTAATACATAAAGAAACACAGAAAGGCAACCAAGATTTTTTAAATGGAAGATTTTTCCTCATACTATTTAAACAAGAACGGCATGGAAAATCCAATCCATGTAACATGATAAATGTAAAATTGTATGTAGTACAGAAATAAACACATAACCTTGTACTCAAATAAAGAGGAACGCTTTAAAAATTCATATGTTAAAAGGCTAACAAATTTTGGTCTACCTAGTTATACCAATTAATTTTTGGTCTCATCCTGTGTGGGCAACCCTGTACTTAGAAATACTTTTAAAAAATTGTGACCTTGACCCTGAGATAAGGTAGGCCGGGTTGGCCTGAAGGCAGGTCACGTGATGATCATGCTCCAGGAGAGACGAGTGCTGAAGAACCTCAGCAATTCCTAAAATTTACATTTTAATTTCAGGGGAAGAAAGTTCTAAACCGTACTTTTGATTTAAACCTGGCACGATCAGGTCAGGTTCGGGCCAATTCATGGATTAGAACATTCTTCCCCTGAAGTTGATCGGCTATACCTTGTCTATCTTTTCTTTATTAAATCTTTAAATGACAGCTTCTGAGCTCTTTTAAAAATGGTTTCAATATAATATGATCGAATTAAATATTGATGTGATTCAACCGTCCAAAAAGAATGAAAAAATGTATGTTCAAATATTTTATACAGCTTTGTCAACAATGATGAAAGAGAAATTTTATGCTTAAAATAAGTCATTAAAAATTTTAAGATAAAGAATAGAGTTCATAACTCTTTTTTTTTGAGTGATTTAGATGAAAATTTTGACATCAAAACATGTATGATGAAAACATGATGTATATAAACAAAATGAGATAAATAAGTTTCTTGTTTAAAAGTTTACCTGCACTGTCTTGTACTAATCGACCTCCACGCATTCTGAACAGCGAGGATTCCTGCTGAACACATAAATTAAACACTTGCCTCAAACTTAAACTTTCTAATCCTTGTGTCTTTGCAACTTGATGGTGTAAACCTTTGATATTTCATCTAACAGAATAAATAGTTTAAAATAACAATTTTTTACGGCATTGGGTTGCAAAGATATAGAGATTAGAAATAAGAGTTCGAAGCAAAAACTCAGTGCAGGTTTAGTGCATCAAATAATCATCGTATTTTTTAGTTTCCACATGAAAATTATTTATTTGCATCCACAAGAGGCAATAACTAGATTGTTTATAATTTTGACGGAAAAAAATATTTTAGTTAAAAAGTGTTACCTGCTTCTTATGTTTCTTTTGTTGGATCTGGAATTTGGTAATTTCTGTAAAAACATCCTTGATATCCCAGATCATGATGAACCCCCTATAATCTCCACTGACAATGTACCCCTGGGTAAGCACCAGGGCACGGACTGGATGTGTGTGCCCAGACAGTACAGCAATACAACTCCAGTCTTCTGTACTTGACCACAGCCGTACAGTACAGTCAAAACTAGCAGACCACATGTAGTCTCCATCCTTAATATTATCAAAACATAAAACTTTCTTAAAAATAATGCAAAGTAATTTTATCCCAAATACCCCATAACCCTCCTATTATTACATCTAAACACTGTATGCTTGTTGTTGAACCTTGTATCTCACTGTATGCAAGTGTTATGTCGTCTTCCAATCCATAATCATATTTTTGCAACTACGAGTTTCTCTGGAACCAAGGAGTTCAACGTACGAGGGGAGGAGTGCAGAAGTACTCAATTGGTAATCACCGCTACCCAAACGTGTCTTGCTTCATGTGCGCTGCTCAATTGGTAATCTCCACCACCTCATTGGTAATCAGACAAAAAATCGTATTTCTTAGAAATAAGACCATATTGACCTCTGTTAATTGCCCTATGGTGTACAATATTGTTAAAGCTTTCTTTATTGCTCCTCAGTTTCGAAAATAAATCTATAAACATGCCAGATGAATCGCTAGAAATAAAATTACGTTTAGATATCCCTTAACCCCCCGATATTACAGGTATACCTGCAGTATACTACAGTGATAACCAGAAAACTCTGGAATAGAAAGACGACTTTATACCAATACTTAAGGGTATTTGAAGTTGTTGCAAAGCAAATAGTTTTAGAACTTATTAAATACTTATTAAGTGAAATAGGCCTGTTTACAATGCACCATAGCTGTGTCTCATGCTCAATGAACTATTTTAAGTTAAAACTTGACTCTAAAAGTCGTCTTCTTATTACAGAGTTTTCTGGTTATCACTGTAGATATCCCTTAACCCCCTGATATTACAGGTATAAACCTGCTGTATACTAGATATCCCACAACCCCCTGGTATTACAGGTATATACCTGCTGTATACTATATATCCCACAACCCCCTGATATTACAGGTATATACCTGCTGTATACTAGATATCCCACAACCCCCTAATATTACAGGTATATACCTGCTGTATACTAGATATCCCACCACCCCCTGATATTACAGGTATATTCTTGCTGTATACTAGATATCCCACAACCCCCTGATATTACAGGTATATACCTGCTGTATATTTAGGAGTATAATTTCCAAGGAACTGAACACTTGTCTCAAATTAGAATTTTCTAATCCTACTTTTGCAACTATACATGCACCTTTGATTTTTAGATTTTATATTTGCAACTATACATGTACCTTTGATTTTTAGATTTTATATTTTGCTAAGTCAAAGATTGAAAATAAGTGATTGTGGCTATTAATGAGTTAGATTTTTCTTGACATTCCTAGATTAGGCTACAATGCTATTTAAAAAAAACGGAATAATGTTAAAAGATTGAAGACTTACAAGCAGTCTTTGACCTTAGAAAAGTTTTCGGCGTTCAATATCAGCAATCTAATTTTAGCACTTTTCTTAATAATAAAATAAGGCTGGACCGATTGGGCTGAAATTTTTTGTGGACACTCATGGGTGGCTGTGGGATGTTATAGGCTAAAATAATTCGATTTTTTTTTCAAAATATTTTTTAAAAAAATTTTAAATTTCTTCAGCTAGTTCTTTATAAAGCAATAATCACAAAACAGCTCTAGTCCTGCCATTTTTCAGCTTTTACAATTAACAGAGATATTAAGAATGTCTAAATTTCAATTTTTTTAGTAAAACCATATAAATGTCTATTTCCGAACGAAATCAATGACAGACCACATTTTGGAAATGGCAGTTCTAGAGCTATTTTGTAATGATTGTTTCATTAAAGAAAAATATCGTTAAAATTTGTTTTATTAAGAATTTAGCCTTATACCTTATGAAGAAAAATTCTCTGTCCCAGGCACTGAGGATTCCATCGTAGGATCCAGTTAATACGGATCCATTCTCACCAACTTTGAGAACTTTTATACCTTTGGAATGGATTTCTTTCTCCCTTAAAGATAAAAATATTAAACTTAAAGAACTCAGTGTCACAAACCTAGATTTTCTAATCCCTATATCTTTGCAACTCGATGTCGTAGACCTTATATATTTCAAACTGTGAATTATGTTGGATAAAAGTCCAATTTTGAAATATTAAAGGTCTGCACAATCAGGTTGCAATGATAAAGGGATTAGAAAATTTCAGCTTGTGGGAAGAACTATGGATTATTTTTTTAATTTCAATATACGACCTTATCATGTGACCATCCAAGCTCCACTCCTGGATGCAACCGTTGTTAAGACCAACTAGAACAGATTCTTCTCTCCAACATAGACTTAGAACTGTAGACTTTACATCGATCCTTCTTATATCGGCCTAGAAACAACATTTAGGTGTTGCGGAATAATTTTAAGTTGACCGAATTATCCAAATGGTTCAGTCAACTGCAGCTATTGCTAGAGAGGCCCCCACGGGATTCAGGAGCATGACTTTTACAATATAAGGAAGTAATTAAGTCTTTGCCACAAACTTTGATTTTCTAATCCTATATTTTTGCAACCCAACGTCGTAGTCCTTAGATATTTTAAACTATAAATGATGTTAGATCAAATAATCTAAGCTTGAAAGATAAAAAGTCTACACCATCAGGTTGCAAAGATATTAAAAAATTTGAGTTTGCGACAAAGACTCAATTCCTTTAAAAGATGTTAATTAGGATTGCTGTCTTTTTGTCGATTAATTTAATTTATATTCCAGGTAAGTGTGTGAAATCAAGCCAAAATAAATCCAACTTACATCAAGCAGATAACGAAATATAGAAATATTGTGTAAGAAACAAGAACAAAATAAATTTTTAATTTATAATAGAATTATGGTTAGAACTCAAAGCCCCAAAAAAGTGTCAAGCAAGCAGAAGTCAAAGGATTATATTTGTATAAACCATGTATGATATAGAAAGGTTTAAAAAGAGAAAGAGAAGTGATATCTCTCATGTTTTGTTTTCTTTTTCAAATCCCTATACCTTTGCAACCTGATGACGTAAACCTTAGCAAATCTAGATTATTTGCTCTAACATAATTTTTAATTTGCAATATCTATAAGATCTACGACATTGGGTTCCAAAGATATAGTGATTAGAAAATCAGAATTTGTGGCAACTACTCAGTTCCTTTGTTTGTGTTCATGCATTGGTATAGTTTGAATTTGAAGTTTGAAATTAATCACCTTTGCATGTTTCCATCTATATTGAAGCCGAGAAATATAAATGCATTTTTCTTTCTCTGATAAATACTTTTTATCTTCCAACCATCCTCTCAGACAACTTTCATCCTGAGGAGACAATAACAAGATTTTTTGTAGTTTTTGTTTAACCTAGAACTTCGGAGATATCGAATTAAGAGTATACCGTCTTGACAATTTTTCAATGGATTTTATTCTGTTATACCTAAATATCTGTAGCATTTCATTATCAGTAGGTTTAGAAAACGACATTTTATAAATTCTTTTGATATCTCCGACGTTATGGTTTAAACTGTATAAAAACTTTATTCTCCATCGTTCATCATCGAAGGAATTATGCCGAACAGTTTAGTTTAATTTTTTGCTTAAATTACAGAGAGAAACAGAAAATTTTGGGATGCATGTCGTCTTTGTTGTTCATTTTACTTGAGAAAAAATTGCTCAGAATTTTGTAATTTTAAATGATTGCAACCGATATAATTAAAATAAAAATAAAGACGACGTGAACTTCACTGTTTTCTGGTTCTCACTGTATACTTTCTAAATGAAAAAAACAGAAAAACTGGTTTGTCTCACCATTCGTAAATAAAAATAAAAAAACTTTTACAAACTGTTATCCTATTCTCTAAGAATGTATTTTCAGTTAATAGATCTTATTATTATTTGTTAAAATATCTTGAATTATTGCCTGATATTGTGATTTTATTTTTCTAGACCAAAATTGATCTGTATCCCATAGGTTCCAGTCTTTACACACTGCACTATGGAACATTATACTCAACATAGAAAAGAATATATATATTGTTTTTACTTTAAACAAAATTTAGATTCCAAATTTTTTTATGTTCTTGGATTTTAATAGAAGAAGCCACTGGAAAATTTTCTAACGGGATTTTTGTTAAATGGTTAATTTTCTTTCAATTTACTTTAGAATATAGTTTTTTAATTTACCTTTTTTTAAATATAATGTTTTGAAAATCCTGTATTCCTGTAAAGACGGTAAGAATATCTTGAAGAGTAAGAAAGTCTAGAATTGACTCCAGGATATGGTAAACCCCTGCCCTCTCCAATCCAGTTAGCACATCAAACCTTCCCTCATCCCTCATCCGTCCTATTTTGTTCATCCTTCCCTCTTCACTCATCCGTTCACCTACACTGATCCTTCCTTCTTCACTCATCCTTCCTCCGTCACTCATCCTTCCTCCGTCACTCATCCGTCTTCCGTCATCCATATTTCTTCCGTCACTAATCCTTCTTCCGTCACTCTTCCGTTCTTCGTCACTCATCCGTTCTTTATCACCCATCCTTCCTCCATCACTCATCCTTACTCCGTCACTCATCCTTCCTCCGTCACTTACCCTTACTCCGTCACTCATAACTCCTCCGGCACTGCCCTGTCTTGACTTTCAACTAGTTTGTGATTTGAAAAAATTCAAAATATCTGAAAACTAGTTATTAAAAAGTTGGAATCAGAAGAAGACAATTTTTGTAATCCTAAAATATGATTCTAAAAATGAATAGATAAAAAGTAAACCTAGATATTAACAATAGAAAATGAGCAAATCCTAAACTTAAACCTTTTAATATTGGACGGTATTTTCTCATTTATTAGTCCTATATAGTGTGTACTATTATCGAATCTCACTGTAGCATCTTTCTTTTTACACTCTCCTTTTCATTTTAGTGAAATATTTGAGTAGAGACGAAGCTAAAATACTGCTAACATACGCTCAAAATACGCACATTTATTAGTCGAATCTCACTGTAGCTTATTGCTTGTTACCCTTCCATATCCATTTTAGTGAAATATTTGAGTAGCGACGAAGCTAAAATACTACTATTAATGTAATAGGCTCAAATATAGGCTCATTTATTAGTCCTATATAGTGTAAACACTTATCAAATCTCACTGTAGCATTGCTTGTTACCCTTCCCTATCTACTTTAATTTAGTGAAATATTTGAGAAGAGACGGAGCTAAAATACTACTGAAATACGCTCAATATACGCATATTTATTAGTCCTATACTTATCGAATCTCACTGTAGCTTATTGCTTGTTACACATCCCTCATATTTAACTGAAATATTTGAGTAGAGACGAAGTTTAGATACTACTAATATACACAGAAAAGCAAGGGAAAGTGGAGAAAGCTTCGGGACAATCCAAACAAAAAATATGGAAACTGAAAGGAGAATTTAAATAAACTTAAATATTTATTATTTGTAAACATTATTAACGAGTAAAACTTACAGAAGAAATCAAAGTTTTATTACTTTTAGAAAATAGAATGTATAAAATCTGAATGTGAGAGGAGGTTCAGAATAAAAGAGAAAAAAGGAATATCGAGATGGTTCAAAAATATAACAGAAGGTTCAGAAATATAAAAGAAGGTTCAGAAATATAAGATAAGGTTCAGAATATATCAGAAGGTTCAGAATATATGAGAAGGCTCAGAATATGTAAGAAGGTTTAGAATAAATGAGAAGGTTCGGAATATAAGAGAAGGTTCAGAATATTGAGAAGGTTCAGAATACAAGAGAAGGTTAAGAATATATGAGAAGATTTAGATTATAAGAGAAAGTTCAGAATATATGGGAAGGTTCAGAATATATGAGAAGGTTCAGAATATAAAAGAAAGTTCAGAATATATGAGAAGGTTCAGCATATAGGTGAAGGTTCAGAATTTATCAGAAGGTTCAGGGTTTAGAGTATAGAGTATATATTTAGAAGAAAGTGAACGCAGGGACCATGAATTAATAACAGTACAGATAGAACACTGGATATCGTCTTTTGAAGATTTAGGGACTTTTTGTAAAAAATAACTCTGAGGCAGAAGCCCAAAGGAGTTACGCGCATGCTGCGTTTAATTACAAGAAAAAGAGCATACGCGTAACTCCTTTGGTGTTCTTTCTCAGGGTTATTGTGAACGAAAACCCCTAAATCTCGAAAAGATGACAGGGTATTATCTGTATTAATCTATGACAGGGACCCTTAAAATAATCTGAGTGAGATTATATTCAACAAACGACTCCGAAAGTTGACGCAGAAATAAATTTAATCATCGCTTTTTCTAATCTCTTTATATTTGCAATCTAATGTAAACATTAGATATTTCAAACTTAGATTATTTTAGCTAACAGAATTAATAGTTTGAAAATAACTGAGGTCTACGACATAAGATTGCAAAACTATAGGGATTAGAAAATCAGAGTTTGTGGCAAAGACTCGGTTCCTTTCCGTCAATTTTGAAGGTACATGGAAGATAGAGGAGATTTTGGAATATGAAGGAGGACGCAACGAAGATTGCAGACAATAAGATATTAAATAGGTTTAGATAAAATTAAATTTTTAAAGCAAGACCCCGTATCCTCAAGTTTAAGCCAGCCAGGTTGGAGAGAGAAGGAGGAGAAGGTTTCATGCCAATTATTCCTTAAACTCCGGGTATATAGGGAAACTATAGCAGCGACTACAATTGGTTCAGTTTAATCTAAACCAGTGAAGACTTCGCACTGCTTTCTTCAACAGCTCTTTTTATCAATCAATCAATCAATTTATCTACACGATATTTTATCACTTTCTTTATAGTAGTAGCCAAGCTTTAGTTTTGAAAGAGAAATGAATTGAACACTTATCTAAAGATCAAATCTTATAATCCCAATATCTTTGCAATCTAATGGTGAAAACTTTTTTTTTAATTTGACTTATTAATCCAGAAGAATTCATAAATTGAAATATCACAAGTCTATGACAAATTATGTTGCAAAGTTATTAAGATTAAAAAAATAGTGTTCAGTGGATTTGTAAAGTCTTGATAAAATTTTGCTGCAGAATATTAATACTTTATGCCAAAGTGTTTGAAATTCATTATTCGTTTGAATTTTTTCTACTAAGGATTTATAATCTAAACTAGAAGTTAACTTTCTCTTACACCGAGAATATTTCTACCTAATATGCAGTTCCTTAATATATGTCTATTTCAAGCTTAGCAATTTTTAATGTGTATAGTGAAAAAGGGTAAACATTATGATTAACATTACCCCAGAGATACCCTAAATGAACCATATAATTGATCGTAAACTTGCGGATTTATGTACAAAGATATTGAAGGAAAATTTCAGATAATCAAGTTCTAAAATCGACGATATGTTCCTCTTGAAATTACGTCTTCGGTCTTTAACATTTTAGAAAACCATTTACAATCGTAAATGTTTAATGTTAATTGAATCCTGTCTTTACAATTTAGCAATACAAGTTCTCAAGGACTTTTATTTATTACTCTTCCCATCAATTTCTAGATATTTTTCTTCCTTGCTATTCTGATTATTAGCATTAAAGGAACTGTAAGTGTAATTTCAAGTGCAAACATGGCAATGTCAGATTTACAAGGGTACCCTTAAAAAGTTTGTCTGATTAAGTATGAATTAGATATAAATGTTTATGACTTACTGATTATTTTCAATTGTGAGCTCTGTACAGAAGTGACTCGAGGATTTAAACTGTAGGAAAACAAATAGGAATTAAACACCTTTAAACCTAGAAAAACAAAAATATCGTCCACATTACTGATCAGTTGAAGGTTTCAAGTGGACTAGGGAGGAGATACAAAGCCACCATGAGCCCCACAAAATTACCTCCGAAGCCTCCTGATACGCAGAATCACCTAGTGCCCCTTGCTACGTCTCTAAGCCTCTTCCATTCTGTCTCCACACCCTGCATTTTGATCTCGGCTTACTTTATTTTTTTTTATTTACCTTTTATAACTTAACCAACCAAAAATCAAAAAATATCTCTTCACATCCAAAATAATTTAAAGAATCGTTTAATCCGCAAATTTTGAATATTAATTCATTCAATTGATCATGACTTGTTTTCTTGTGAAAAGTTTACACAAAGCATTCAATAAAAGCACAAATTCAAGTATTTCACAAAAACTATTTTGTTTTGTAAATTGGTGCTTATATAGATTGATTTGTACATGATATTGAGCTGTTTAATAACAAAAATCTGCAATAGTTATTCACAAGCTAAGAAATGTGAAATTGTGAAATTTAGAAAACAAAAAAGTCTTAATCTCAATAAAATAGTTTTTTTTTCAATGCAAATTGATTATGTATCATTAAAAACTATTTAATCATGTTGAGATTATTTATAAAACAACTTTTTTTGTGGATGTAAAAATATCAGTTTTTGTGAAATACTTTAATTTGAACTTTTATAGTATTTAGTATGTAGTAGGGTACCATTGTGAATCGGTCAGTGACATCTTTCCATATAAAAATAACTTGAAATTACGCTTACAGTCCCTTTGATATCTTTCTACATTGTACAGTTATTTAATGTTTGCATATTTTGTGCAGTGAAACTAATAATCAATTGTTTAAATCAAGATTCCCCCGAGAGAGAGCTCCAAGTCCAAATCAAATGAAAATAATTGAATAATTTATATATTTCAGCAAGTATACAGGATATTTACACGATATAGGAACATTAACCCGTGATTGCAAAAACAATTTACCGTTGTACTTTAAACTGTACAAATTTATATTATATTATAAAGATTTATTCACACACAAAGATAAAAATACATATATAAATGGTGTAGTTTAAATTTGTATAAATAAATCTTTGAAAATACAGGTTTCCAAAAGAAAAGAGAAAAATATGCAAAATTATGCACAAACAGACAACATTGATCATTACTCATTACATAACATATTTGTCATTTCTGTCATTTCAGTAATTACGTAATCATCGAATCCTTTAACATAATTATTCATTCTTGTATTTAAAAGTTCTTGTAAAACCGGAACTTTCCATGCATGGTCCAATGGGACATCAAAATATTTCATTTGTTTCTTAACTAACATTTTACTAAGATCCGAAGGAACTGAAAATTCTCCTCAAACTAACCCTTAGATCTTTGCCACCATAAATCTTTGATTTTTCAAATTTTAACTTTAGACCTACCAGAGTTCATAAGTATGTACGCCGTACGGTCAACGACATCAGGCTGCAGAGATGATTTAGATAAGCTAATTACACAATTAGAGTTTGAGAAGAGTAATCAGTTGATATATCATTTGATTTGTACATAATATCTACATGATACAAATATTTAAAATATCAGGATTAAAAGACAGATCAAGAGACACGGTAGAATAGAAGCCCTGGTTCGAAAGCCAGAGAGTATTTCCGTTTGAACCCATTTTACCCATTAAATATAGATTTTTTGTATTCCATATTTTGATACTTTGATACTTATTTTAGTTATTTAAGTATATAAAATCTCTTACTCTATATTTTTGGTGGATTTTGATTGAGAAATCAAAATATGCCTGAAAATATTCCGATTAAAACTCTTAGTGATATTAATGTGTTATGTCGAGGAGTATCAGAACTAAGGAGAGTTTATTTTTTACTGTAGCATAGGCGCACCTCATTACTATTGAAACAAGAACAAAGATTACAATCAAGTCTTGATATTTTTAGGTTCAAGGCACAGGGGTCAAAACTCTTTGCAACCTGATGATTGGCGTAAACTCTTTGTAACTTTTGGCGTAAACCCTTGGTATTTCAAACTTTGACTTTTTGATTTCACAGAGTTCATAGTTTGAAATATCAAAAGTCCACAACATTAGGTTGCAATTATAAAGGAGTAGAAAAAAGTGTTTTCGGTAAGAACTCAGTTCTTGGCTTAAAATAATTCGTGAGGAATGATTTTTTTCAGGTTTGAAAATGGACTGATTAAGGAGAGTGTATGAGGGATATAAAAGTAGAAAATACAACCCGGATCCATCAATATATTTGTTTATGCAGAGCCGCTCCGCTCATCCTCCTGAGGTTCGGAGTATACATGAGGACGGGAAGAGAAGAGAACAGGACGTGGATTTCAAGGATGGAGAGTGTCAGGACGGAGAGAATTTCTCCGCAAGATCCAGCGGCTCAACGGGTTCAATTATCTTCTCAATTGCTTTGAGAGCAGACTCAGGACGGGAAGGTATCTCACGAGATACTAAACGGAAACAAGATTTAAATTCTAGATCCTCTAAACCTAGAATACCGACGGTATCCTCTCCGGTTGAGGAGAACACAGAGAAAAGGTTGGAGGAAGGGGATTACTTTGAAACCAACCTTGTTGGTCTGATCCCAGAGAACGGATTTCTCCAGATATACCAGGAATTGGATACCTTGAGTCAAACCTCAACTGAGATTCACAGCCTGAACCTCAACCTAACTTCTCCACCTCAAGAGGTTAACCAAGAGAGGATTTCTTACTCGGAAAGTAACGAGGAGTCCTTTGATTCTGGAAGTTTAGGTGTCGAGGACTCATCAGTTTCCGATCATAATATTATACAAACCTCTTTAAAAGATCAACTTTCTGAACCTGAATCAGAAACTATCTCAGACCCAGATCTCGCTGAATTAGACGAACCCCATATTCCCGAGAAGGAAGAAACCGTATTGCCTGAGATAAAACAAGAAGAAGAAGAAGAGTTGCAAAACTTTGATATAAATCAGAACCCTGAAATCAATCCTAGTGTTGGAACCAACCCGGAGCTCACAGTGCAGAGTCTTCCTGGATCTAAAAACTACCCGGAGAAAAATACGTTTATTGAGAAAGTGGTGAGCAAAAAATTATTCTGGAAAATTCTAGGACTCCTTATACCCTTATTAAAAAACACGGTCTAATTCAATTTAATGGTAAACTGCATTCGTTAAACTTCAAATGGGATTCTGGTCGTCTTCCAATTCTGTTTTATTTAGAAGATCACTGTACTTAAATAGGTTTATGATGTGATAATAGTCTGATTCAATTCTCGGATAAAATTATATTTGAATTGTTATTACATCATCTTTGCTTGTTATTTTTCATACACAAAACCCTATAAGTTTATGAAACGAGAGAGAGAAAGGAGTAAATTTTTACCACTGTTTTGCTTTTTTCATTTATATTTATTAAAATTTTGTAATCTTTCTCTTTCGGGACATATTTTATTTTTGTTTTAAGTAAATGAATAAGTGTAGTTGAAAGGATTACTTTGTGAAGAGTTTGGTTAATGTTTACTCACTCTTAGTCAACTTATATTTACCCATTATCCACCAATCTCCCTCTTTTTATTCCCCCCCCCTTCTACTTCCCCTCTTTTTTCTCTTCTGTAAATGTATTTGAATTGTCTGTCTGTTGGTCTGTTTGTTAGTTTGTATCCAATAAACGTCAAATCGGATTTACTGATCGTAGTCAAACTTTTGTGGTAACTCACAAAATTCTAAATTGAGAAATTTCGCCCAGAATTTTTTTTATTTTCCAATACTTCGATATCCTTTTTATTATAACAAAAAAATCCCAAAAATTATTGTTTTGTGATGTACAACGAAAAAAATGGCGGCTGGCACAGCAACATTCAAAAGCTGAAATTGTTAATAGAAAATGGATCGCGAAGCGCTCTAGTCTAGTCCTATACAAACAAAACACATCCACATCAAAATCTAAACAATAAAAAAACAGCAACAAAATCAAAAGCAACTTTTTTCTTTTACGGCTAAAATATTGATTTAAATCAAAATAAGAATCATTTAGGTTTCTCTAGTTCCTATAATTAAGGTTGAAATTGATTAATTGTTCTGAGCTTGTAGGAGACCTTCAATCAAGCAAATTAAAATATATATTCAACACAAAATAAAATGGCTATTGCACGTTGCTTGTAAAAATAATGATTTGTAAAATAATACATAGATTACACAAATATAATTTTTAAATATTTTTGATGGAAAGAAACTGATTACTCTCCTCACACTCCGATTTAAAATCGTGATATCTTTCTAACCTGATAATATTGCTTAACAAGGAATTGAGTCTTTGCCATAAGCTCAATGTTCTAATTTCTCATGGTCTCAACCTGATGATTCAAACCCTTGATATTTCAACCTTAGATTATTTGATCCTAGATAATTCATAGTTTGAAATATTGCAAAGATTTTGGGATTAGAAAATTAAAGTTTGTGGCAATGACTTGTACCAGTTCAGATCTTATTTCGATTCGACTGTCGTACGTTTATAAAATTAGATAATAGGGATAGGTATTAATTTTAATTTTAATTTGATAATATTGATTAGGTAGAAGAGCGGAGCAAACCAGATATCTTAAACCAGAAATCCAGACCTATTAAGAACCAGAACCCTCAACATTCCAGACCAATTCAGAACCAGAATCCTCAACAGTCAAGACCTATTCCGAACCAGAACCCTCAACATTCCAGACCTATTCAGAACCAGAACCCTCAACATTCCAGACCTATTCCGAACCAGAACTCTCAACAATCTAAACCTATTCAGAACAATAACTTGAATTCATCTTTAGGAATTAAGGGACCTATAGGATCCAGCGGAGCAAGGTTACCAACGGGACCAACGGGACCTGGGAAACAAAGCGCTGTCTCAGACCGTATTACGGAGCCACTAAACTCAAGGAAATATTTAAAATAGTTTGAATCAGATTAATATTGCAACAATATATATAAAACTAAACTCAAGGAAATATTTAAAATAGTTTGAACCAGATTAATGATAACATTGCAACAATATATATAAAACTAAACTCAAGGGAATGCATAAACAGTTAAAACCAGACGTAAAAATAATATTGTAACAATATTTTAAATTTTAAAAATGAAATTTCAACTAGTTTTGTTTTGTGATTTAAAGTTTAAGAAAACTATGAAAGCTCAAGTACTAACAAGGGTTAGTTTGTTCAAATGTTCCGAACGGGTTTCACGGTTTTAACAATCAAGGTTTAAGTTTATTTTCAAAGTTCAGGAATGTAAAAAAGGTGTAAGGAAGAAATAAATGTTCAGAAAAATGTTTAAGAGTAAAATCAAGGTATTAAGATTTATGACACCTCAAGGTGTTGTAGTAAAGTAGGTGTTAAGTTTATAAAAGGTTTAGGGGTAAAAATAAGGATTAAAGGTTTATAAAAACTCAAGGTTTAGGAGTAAAATCAAAGTATTCAGGTTTATAAAGCATCAAGGTTTAGGAGTAAAATCAAAGTATTCAGGTTTATAAAACATCAAGGTTTAGGAGTAAAATCAAAGTATTCAGGTTTATAAAACCTCAAGGTTTATATGTAAAATCAAAGTGTTAAGGTTAATAAAACCTCAAGGTTTAGGAGCAAAATCAAAGTGCTAAGGTTTAGAGGTTCAGCAAAAAAATCAAGGTGTTAACCAGAAACTGCTTTCTCATTTAGGAATTACAATAAATCCAAGTTTTTTAGGAATAAACCCTGAGGTGTAAAGGTTAATGGGAAATTTTAATAATTTTATGTTTATTTTACCAGAGGAAGGATTAATTTATCATGAAAGGCTGACAGGGCTGGGGGGGGGGGGCAGGCTAACCCAAGTTGGGGGAAAGAGAAAAATTTGTGGAAAAGTGACCATTTAAATACAGGGCGGATCATTCCACAGTACAATTTTCACCTAACAAATCCCGTTTTGGAAGAATTTTCAATCCTTTACGATGTTTCTCACCCTGTATAAAATAGAATTTCAAATATTTAGTTTTGAATATTTATAGAATGAATATTGCAGCTGCCAAGTCCGGCCTGGATTTTCAGGTTACCCTACTCTTCAACCAACATCAAATTAACTTTTTTACATTAACTTAACAATTTTAAACCTTAAATTTATTATATTTATCGGATACATACTTTTCTTACCATTCACACTAAAATAGCGTGGACTTTTCGTTTTTTATGTCTTTCTCTTAAATTTTATAAAATATTAAAAAGTATTTAAAGTTCATACATTTAGCCCAACCTAATTTCTACTTTAAAACAATTAAAACCTACAACACATATAATTCAGATGTATAAAGAAATTAATTCTTTGCCTCAAACTCTGATTTTCTCACCCAAATATGTTGACAACCAAATATTAGATATTTCAAACTATGAATTCTATTATAAAAAATAGTTTAAAGTTTGAAATAATAAAGGTTACACCATCAGGTTGTAAAAATAGTGTTTATCGTTCGTTTGTCGTCCTATGCTTATCCTAACATTGTAAAAACATAATTTTAAAACATTTAGGAATTGGCCAGAGGAGGAGAGAGAAATTATTCCTGCTCCTATCTAGTTAACATTGACTGGGATATGCTCCATCTCTCCAAACCTAACTCCAGGTATAGTACTATTATCTGAAGTGGATAAGTTGGATGATTAATGAATAAATTTAACTCCAGGTGCAACTTTCATCCACAAAGAAGTTTTACCTATCTTGCTCTGGCTGGAATATTTAAGAGCATGGGATTATTATTCTTTATTTACTTTTTATATTTTTATATTTTTTATTTATTTCTTAAACTTAAAATTTTTTTATTTATTTTTTTAATTTAAACATTAAATATTTTTTTTATTTCAAAAACCTATTCAGCATTTATGAGCGTAGTTAGTGTAGCTTTTACAAGCTTTAAACTGTTATAACATAATTTATGACTTTTTTATATATTTCATCCGATAAACAATGGGGACGCATTTTGAGGAAATGCTGCCGTCTTTTCGTTCATGGTTTTGGAGCTTCTTATTGTCTTTTTTACCTGGTCCATTTTTCTTCCGTAGTATATTATCATTTGATTATAGAATACGTTGTTGTAAATCTTAAACGGATTGATAATACTCGCCGCTCTCGAAACAAATCGGAACAAAAGAGATCAGTGCACAAAGAACCTTACTAGTAGAAAGAATTATAATACAAATATAATCTTCTACCTTAGGTCAAGTGCAGCTCCCAAACTTATATCGATTCATAACTCAGACTATTAACATAATATAGCCTGATAAATATATTCAACTGTGAATAGCTAGTTATAGATATTTATATTAACATAGGCAAGCAAGGCTATATATAATTCTGTATAGCTAAACCCAATACATAGCTCTGCAGAATTAATAGCTCCGCAGAGTTAATAGCTCCGCAAAGCTAATAGCTCCGCAACATTAATAGTTCCGCAAAGCTAATAGCTCCGCAAAGTTAATAGCTCCGCAAAGCTAAATAAGGTAGCTCTATAACACTAAGCAAGACCAATAGCTTAGTAAAGTTTTATATATATATATATATAAAACCAATCTTAGATAGTTCCTAATTATACTAATAACTAAGTAACAAAGATACCATAAAAGTTGCTAAAGCTTTATATAGTTAAGTAAAGCAAATAGCTCCGTGAAGCTACATAAAGGATACTAACTCTTTATGACTAAAAAGATAAATAAGAATTTATTATCTAAGTATATTAAAAGCTAGAAATATCTCTAACAATA